ATTCTTCAAAGGCCACATTTTTTACAGATGGGTGCAGTCTTTTTTTGACAATCAAATACGCCTTCCTGTTTTTGCCTGTTTCGTCCACGGTCAGCTTTAGATGGGTTGACGTTGGCAGGATGGATAGTGTTTATGGAAAGGTGATAATGTTTCGACCCGATATCTTGGTAGCACAGATGTTGAAAGAGATCCTCTAAAAGGTTTTCCTGCATGCTTTTAAGACTGCTATTTATTCAGTTGCAATTGTTATGCATGGAAAAGTAAACTTGATCATAAAACATAAATTTAATGCTCGGTCATGTTATTACTTAAAACCAGACACTGTAACATTGAAGGTCAAATTATGGTTTATATGCATTCCACAGAAAATGTGTTCTTGAGATAAAATACGTGTACAAAACAAGCAGCACTTTTGTAAGGTGATATCCTTCATTTTGTTTTAGTATTTGGAAAATCTGAATGTTACATTGTATTAGGTACCATATTTTAGGAATGGAGTCTCACTTATTACCAATATTTTTGGTTCTTTCGGTAAAGTCACGTAGAAGGGAAATAATAAAAATATAAAACAACAAAAATTCTCACGACGTTTCGACTGCAACACAAGCAATCATCATATATTATTATTTCCCTTCTATGTGACTTTACCAAAAGAACCAAGAATATGAATCCCTGCCGTCACGAAAGCTTTAAATAAAAATTATTACCAATACTTGAATATAAATGGCCAAATGCAATACACTGATTTGATTTGGACCCAAACAAAACTATCGATTTGTTTAGCAAAAACATGTAAGCCGGCGTTGTTAAATAATGCATTCTAGGTGAGTTTAGACATCCTTCAATTGACTTTAATTTGACTACATATAACTACAGTACTACCACAATGTGTTGACTACATATAACTACAGTACTACCACAATGTACTATATGATGCCTATGGAATATCGAGCTTAAGGTTAATATACCTGTTCTTGTATTCCAAGATTCATCCTCTGTTTTATGTCGCTGTCCTGGGGAATCGGTAAGTCTTCCTGGGACATTAACAGCCCCCAGTTGTCAGTAGCATAGCATTGCGTTTCGTGTGGTGCTCCTATCTGTCAGTATCGTGAGATATTCGTATTCCCATGAGACGTCCTGAGTTTTGTACCTCAGAGATGGCAACCACAAACGACATGTCGGACAAAAGAGTATGATAATTGTTTTTTTACCCTTTAATCTGGCAACAAAACTGACACCTTTTTTACAAGGAGTCATTTTTGCATTGACCACAATACCGGCAGTCGGATTGCAAAAAAGACAACATAATTCTGATAATGGATGCAGTCCTTGAAATTGATTGGGCCACACCTGAGACAGCTTTCATTAGAGCCTAGTCTCACATGGTGTTGGACCAGATGACCCCAAAAGGCGTCATCTGGTCCAACACCATGTTACTGGCAACACCATGTTACTGGCAACACCATGATACTGGCAACACCATGTTACTGGCAACACCATGTTACTGGCAACACCATGATACTGGCAACACCATGTTACTGGCAACACCATGTTACTGGCAACACCATGTTACTGGCAACACAATGTTACTGGCAACACCATGTTACTGGCAACACCATGTTACTGGCAACACAATGTTACTGGCAACACCATGTTACTGGCAACACCATGTTACTGGCAACACAATGTTACTGGCAAATGAGGTTCCAATGGGGACCAAAGAGTAATCCTTTTGGCCAGTTTTCCTGTTTTATATTTAGATTATTATTAATCTTATTGTTGTTGATGTTACTATGCATATAAGTGCTTATATTAAAACTACTACTATTATTACACAACATGAGAAATGTTGGCATGTAGTTTTCCCAATTTGTTCACAGTCTTACAGTTAAAACTTCACAATTAGATCAGTGTGTGGAGGCTGGAAGACCACGGGCTGCTCGAGAGTAAGTACAAGGGGTGGGGTCTGGGGTGTTTGAGAGGTACAGCAATTAGGCAGGCATGAGATAAAGTGAACAATGGCACAGTCATGCGAATAACAGCATGATAACATAAATAAATAAATAGCTGACATTTTCAGCCCACCAATGGATGACGTTATCACCACGCTGTGTTAGTTTTTTGTACTATACTTCACATAAGGAAATCACGGCATTGGTTTGGGAATGTAAAAGGTAACATTGCACCCCTGCAATTGCTTGCCCACGTCACTTCAGGCAGAAGGGAATCCACGAGAGGGAGCTCTCGCTAGCTCTGAGCCCTTCTACAGGGTATTTTGACTTACTCTTCTATTCCAGCCTTGAAATATAATAAGTGGCACGTAATTATATTTCTAGTGAAGAGAACAGACTTTGGTGCCAGAGTGGATCAAAGAGCCGAGTAGAGAGTGCTGATTAGGGCTCCGATTAACACGGTTGACTACGTACGGTGCGAAAGAAGTTTAAAATACATACAAAGAGTCAGGGTCAGCGCTAGAGTGGTGCAGGGTTGGGCCCTGAACCACCAAATGTGCCTTTCGCATCACCCATGATCACTCCCGTTCGGGATGCATCACTGCTCGGGTGGCCAGGCTTGGTTAGAGAGGATGTTTGGGAGAAGGGATTGAGTATGCGTCGCCAATTGAATTGCTGTACTGTGTATATGATGGGATGTCCATTAATTCTAGATTTGAAGCTTTCGTGACTGCAAGGATTCATATTCTTAGGTTTTTTCGGTAAAGTTACGTAGGTAATTTTTTTTAATTAATAAAAGTAAAATAAAAATAAAAGAAAAATCACGACGTTTCGGAGGCAACACAAGCTTCCGTCTTCAGGTGGAACCGTCACAGCATGATAGCTGATATTTTTATTTTACTTTTATTAATTTAACATTTTTACCTACGTGACTTTATCGAAAAAACCTAAGAATATGGGATGTCCATTACTCCATTACTGGACATCTGTGAGTAAGAGTTTTATCGCTAATCGGATTCCTCCAGTATCAAATACATATTCTGATTCTGGAAAGACTGGGAGCTAGTTGAAGTTTTGAATGGAGGTGAGGACATGCTGAATGAGGTGAGTGCAAGGTTGAGATAAAGACCATATATTATCAGCTGTCGGCCATCCAAAATAACATTCTGAGGGCTGCCCTCACTTAAATTTGGAGTCAGTATTTTTTATAATTAATATTTGGGATCATATGGAAAAAATGCGTGGCACTTGAGATAATCTACAATTAAGCAGTAGAAAGGGAATAGTGTATACTGTATTGAGAAAAGGGGTATTATGTAACTTTAACTCGTCATGTGCTGTAATCGGTACATTGCTATTTAAAGCCTTTTCTTGGGAACCAGAAGGCTATAACATCGATTCAAGGACAAAGAAGTTATGTACTGCAAATGTGGGACTTTTAGGCATTGATTGAATGTGGAAATCCATTTTTGCCAGTTCAATGATATAAAATTAGACTGATGGTCAAAACTCCTCTTGATTTTAATCATCGACCTTTAACTTCTCAAAGTTGGATGAAGGACTTCCCACGCCAAAGCCACCCCCTCAGCCTTGCGATGCCACAATCCATCTTTGCTCCTGAATATCCTCCTGAGCGCATTCCCTCCTTTGGGCTGCCATTCCATCACGATGCTTGTCCATCAACCATAATCCCTTCCTGAATGTATCCTGGCCAAGCCCACTTTCCCTTACAGTGTTTGTTCTCTGGTCCACATATTCATCTCTAGATTTCCTTCCAAATAAAACGAGTTTAGTTTATTTTAAAAAATGAGTTTCTCCTATACATGTTTGGGCACTGTGCTAACTTTTGTTCTACAGGGTGTTTTAAAAGATGGACCCGATTTCAAAGCAGTACTGCTTTGAAATTGGGTCCATCTTTTTGAAGCACTCTGTATTTTCGTTATCAATGTCAATGTTTGTGATCCATATTTAAAAGTAGGTAAAATGCACTGATGAAATGTTCTTCTGTGGACGTGTTACTTTTCATGACTAATTTAAGTCTTCTAAAACTGGTATTCATTCGATAATTTCCCTAATAACAACTCAACAAACTGATCAATACCATGAGTTAAAATGAAAAAAAATGTTTAGGTAACATAAATTAGGTTTGCACCACTGCCAACACAGCATTGCCAAACACTGTTTAACTGCTCTGTGATTTCCAGTCCTGTCACTTGGATAGATACCGTACTGCAGTGAACAGTATCTTGTATGTTGAACTTCTTTTGCACCGTACGTAGCCAACCGTGCTAATAGAACATGTACATGGCATGCCTTGACCACCATTCCACATTGACCAGCGTGGTGAAGTATGGTCATGGCCGAAATGGGGGTCGGTATTGATTAATCCAGCAGTGGACTGACAATACACATCAGCATCTTTATTTGGGCTGGAGCAATCCCATGAGCTATGAAGATTTTTTTTCACACACGTGCCTTTGTCAATCCACTGCTAGATGAATCACCCCCCCCCACCACACCACAACCCCCATTTCGGCCATTAACCATACCTCACCACGCTGGTCAAGCATTGAACGGTGGTGAAGCTTGTTGTTGTTGATGATGATGGTGATGACGAGCGTAACTTCCCTTAACTTTCACCTCGAATGACCTCAAAAATACGTCGGTGCCGAGGGGGAAAACCTCTCATTTGGCAAGAGGGGGTGGGGTGGGGGAGGGTGGGGGAGGGTGAAGTGTGGGGGGCGGGGCTCAGCGAATTCAAACTCCCCCAACGGATTTTGGGGAACGGTGGTGGAGAGCAGGGGGCGTGGTTTAGGGAGGCGGGGGGTAAATTTTAGCCAATCGGCGGGGGATAAATTCCAGCCAATCGGCGGGGGGTAAATTTTAGCCAATCGGCGGGGGGTAAATTTCAGCGACTCGGCGGAGGGTAAATTCCAGCCAATCGGCGGGGGATAAATTTCAGCCAATCAGCGGGACGCACCGGGGAGGGGCGGGGACTCGCGTTCTCTCACTGGATTGGTCGATTTTAAAAAATTTCCGTTGTGTACCGGAAGTCGGTTTGGGGCGAGTAAAATTTTAAATTTTTTGGTGGCGTCGTCGTCGTCGTCGTCATCGTCGTAGGAAGTTGTTTGTTTGTGTTAACAAGAGCAGCGGAGGCGGCCGAAGCGAGTTATAACACCGGTTAATTTGTCGGGAGCGTCTTAATTAATCGGCGTAAATGATTACGAGCGCGTCGCGAGGTGTGGAGGAGGCAAGTGGTGTCGGCGCGGACGGTGAGTTTCGTTAAGTCACTTTAACGCGTCACTAAGTAGAAGGCTTCACGACCAAATATCATCCATGATATAGGGTTTTATAAAATTTCCTTCGTGTTATATAATCGAAAATTACATCAAGGATTCGGTTCGCGGTGGATGTATTTGTTTAAGTTGTTTGGGGTTTTATTCGGTTAGTTTGAGAAAATTCAAATATCCGTAAGGAGTTTTGGGCCCACCAATTACGACCACGCGGCATTGTTGAACATCGCTTGAAGGTGGCTTTGAGTTGGGTAGCATTATTGCAAACACAGAATGCCATCCTGTGTATGCAATCTAATTTCTGCTAGTTAATGCTTCAGTTTGAAACGATGCTGACATTTCGAGTTGATAATTGGTGTATTTTATACAGTCGACACCATTTCTTTAATGTCTTCTGTTAGTGCGGTGATTGTAATCTCCATAATGTGTTGTTTGAGTTGGATCGCATGAATATAAATGTGTCGTTAGGGGTAAATCATTAATTTATTATATTTGAGACATATTTTGCACATTTCCGTGTTGCGTTTGATGTTCTCGTCGCGCTAATCAAAAGTGAATACGTTAGTGATTTTCGGCGTCTTGTTTACTGCGGATTTTACAGAGAATCAACACTTTGCTTAGAATGTATGGAAACACGGTGGTTTGTTTTGGTGCTGTGTATTGTTTACAGCTCCACGGTATAGTGAGGCCAGCAGAGGGCAGTGCAACACAACGCAATGTCTTGCCGTACTTTGTTTTCAACTCGCATTCACCAGCGTGGTGAAGTATGGTCAATAACCACCGCAACATATACGGTGTGAAGATGCCCTCATCCAGCAGTGCATTGTGCCAAATGCATCTGTAAATCTATTTATGGTGAACTTTCGCATCGTACGTAGCCAACCGTGTTCATCGGAGGTGCGGAGAAAGGACAACAAACTAAACACAAAAAACAATTCTAACTAAATTAGTTTTCAATACAGATGATTTAAGATTCGCAAGGAATCCAATGGCTTCCTAATGTCGGAAGAACGTTCCAGACGACCGCAGAAGCGCATCCGTGGTGGTGTGGGTGAAATCATTTGTTTCTGCACACATGTGCGGCTTACGGCTCGAACTTGCATGCGATAAGACTTTGGAGTTTGCTTTGGGTTTTGTATTGTATGTGCCTTTTGTGTCGTTACATATGCTCCCACAGTAGACACTAACGACGTGGCCACGGACACAGCGATGAAGTCGAAGACCTGCTCGCCACGTGGGTACGTACGGCTTAGCACGGCGGTGTGCGCTAGAGTTGTTCTCTGCGATGTTTCCATCGTCCACTAGAGGGCGTTCGAGTGCTTTGTTAAGTCAAACATTACTTGATGCTAATGCGTTGGCAGTGGTGCGCACACAAGCACAAAAAACGACGCCATGCGTCAATAACACTCACGTATCTTCTTGGTTCTTTCGGTAAAGTCACGTAGAAGGGAAGTAATAAAAAGAAAACATAATAAAAAAATAATTCTCACGACGTTTCGGCCACAACGCAAGCAGCCGTCCTCAGGTGAAACCAGGTCTGTCGAGGCGAAAGAACCAAGAAGATGAATCCCTGCAGTCACGAAAGCTTTAAATCGAAACACTCACGTAGTTTAACGCGTGGTAGGCTTTCACGACAAATATCCATAATACAGGTTTTCTGGGGTTATATCGAGTAAATATATAAATGTGTCGTTAAACCCGCCACCACCCGACAGCGAATTAGTAAGGGTTGTCACATAAAAAAAATCTGGCTGTCGCCTGATGAAGCTAGTTGTAATTACTGGCGAAACGTCGTACTCCGATTGTAAACGTTGTGGCTTTGCTTTGCAACACACCGATGTGCTGTATTAGGAACGAATTGGCATGTTCTGTTTACGTGACAAATCTTACTAACTAGCCTTTTGCCCATCCAAGGACGGGTGTATTGCTGTAAATCTGAAACTTGCAAGCGAAAAGCAGACCGCGACGTCATATTCATTGCATCAATCTGTGTGCAATTTATAAGGGCGCGGTGACGCAGACCTATTTCATTTTAAGGTTATAATCCCTTGTTCATCATGACGTCCTTTTTACTTTGATGTCTCAACAGCGTTACAGAGATCACGTCACGTGAGGGTTCTGCCTTTGTAGTGAGGGTTGTAAGTTGACGCTGAGGAGGGGAGAGGAGGCGCCTTGCCCCCCATGTGGAGTGACGTCAGCCGCTAATTATTATGAATGGGGGGGGGGTGTTCATTGGGAGGATGTCGCCTTATGATGATTATTAATGAAGGGGGGGCTGTTCGATGTGGAGTGACGTCACCTGCTCATGATTATTAATGAGGGGGGTCCATATGGAGGACATAACCTGTTCATGATTATTAATGAGGGGAGCTGGTCGATGTGGAGTGATGTCACTTGCACATTATTATTAGTGGGGGGGGGGGGTCCATTTGGATGACGTCACTTGCTACTGAAAATTAATTAGGGGGAATGGTCAATGTGGAGTGACGTCACGAGCGTTAAGAAAAGACAATCCTGGGTGCTTATAGTAGGCATATTGGCTGCGGCGGGTGGTGCTAACCCCAAAAAAATGCATTATGAAACATAACAGGTGACGTTTTGTAAAATTATCCTTTTTCATTACGCAAAGAGAAGCCAGAGATATATAAGAGTGGGAAGACTGCAGATTACACGATAAGATAGTAATACAAAAAATGTATTCCTCATGAACAATCTTGGTAGCTGCAGAGTAACCATAGTTTGTTAAATTGTATGAGTACCAAGGATGGTGGCCTCTCAACAATTTATACAATGTATACTACTGTTGAATGGTAGATGTTAATCTTTTCTCTGATTGTTTATCTAGACTGGAGGTATCCCCAATGCGCCACGCAGTGCTTTTTCACAGATGTGCAGCATGGGCGGGCCAGCAGGTAAATGTTAACTATATTGGAATATAGAGGTTTGGGACTCTACTATAGGTTTTTTTCGGTAAAGTCACGTAGGTAAAACATTAAAATTATTAAAAATAAAATAAAAATCACGACGTTTCGGAGGCAACACAAGCCTCCGTCTTACCTACGTGACTTTACCAAAAAAACCTAAGAATATGAATCCTTGCAGTCACGAAAGCTTCAAATCTAGAACTAAACCCTGATCTTATAGAGTTGAGGCACTTCTAAACGCAAGGAATGACGCACAGGAGAATTTGATTGTACAGATGGAGAGTGCAGCCATGGAGCAAATATCTACAGTTTGGTGGAGTGTTTTTTTGGTATTTCCTTCCCAGCATTGCCCTTCCATCCAAGTTCAAAGCCATTGGTCAGAAACGCCCCTTTTACCATGTGCCTGCCAAGTAAGTGTGTACCTGTGGTAGTGTATTCAGCTGTGGCCCACACATAAAACTGAGACCCCACCAAGACATGCTTTTAGCGTTGTCACCTGCAGTGGAGAAACGCTTGCTTAGAATTGCTTGCATGGCTTAAATGTTTTGCTTGGCAAGGCATAATTTGCATGTGGTGGGCTCAGATATATGCCATGGTACATAAGTATGGGTAAAATAATAATTTAAGGTTGTGTTTCTCCAATGCCCTTGATATTTTTTTAATAGACGCATGGACGTGACCAACAAGGCAAAGACCACGGAGGAGATGGAGCTGGAGAAGATTAAGCAGCTGCAACTGGAGCTTAAAAGGCACCGAGAGATGGCCAAGAAATCACTACGGATGGTGCAGCATAGCTCAGGTTGAATTTTAAATTAAACATATACTTTGTTAATACACTACTTTGTTCTTAAGGGCCATTTGTTTGAGAATTGATTACTATGATAAATAATGTATATGCCTTCCAAATAATTTATCCTGCTTTGAAAAGTGATATACGTTTAATACACCCCTTATATTTTGTGACATGCACAAGGATTCTGAAAGTGTTAGGCAAAAAACGAGCGGTGTAATGAAATAAATCGAATTACAGTAATAATCGTGAACATGGTAAAAACATGCAATTCACAATGAGTCGATTTGCCATTCAAATTGGAAAACAAGTTACGAAACTCCTTAAAATATCAATATTCAAATACGCCGAGCTATTTCATTTCATCGAAACCCGATATATTTTGAGTTGGTATCAGTAGTTCCAAACACTGGCCATTTTAATAGTCCGATTCGCGTGGTTGGCTATGTACGGTGCAAAAAAAGTTCAACATGTATGTACGGAAGAGGTGTAGAAGAATCGCTACAAGCTATGGGTTACTGGGCCAGCAAAATTATACCGGCCTTAATGTCTGTTGATAATGTACTGTCATGCTAAAAAGGCAAGTTTTTGTGTGCGTGAACAATTTGTTACGTAACTGGCAAAGGTTGGTGGTTGTATGCATGTGCAAATGTATTTTAATAATGAAATTGTTTTCCCATTAGGGGACAGTTGAAAAATGTCAGTGTTACATTTTAAAAACAAAACATGTTTTCAATTACCAGCACACATTTGATACTAAAACTATTCAATCTCTTTTTTTTTTTGCTAAGTGCACATGCCTCTCAAGTCCACGTGCATGCCCACTCTCCCAGTGGGTTTCAATTTCCACACGGACGGAAGAATTAAGCGGCACGCCATGCAGCATCCATCGCTGGGAGCCACACAGAGCACAGACAAAACCCACCGACGTTCAAAAAACAGCATTGCTGCGGTAAGTGTGAACCTTTGGTATGAGCAGCGTTACGATACCCTCTGAATGCCAAGACACATTGCATACAAGTTATTCTTTGGTTCTTTCGGTTAAGTCACGTCTAAAGATAAAATAATAAATTAAATAATAGCATATTACGACGTTTCGATTGCAACACAAGCAATCATCATCAGGCATAAAAGAAATAGCAACAAAAATCTAACTAGAAAACTATAGACAGAATAATTCCTGCAGTCACGAAAGCTCCAAAATTAAGATTGCATACAAGCCTCGCGGATTATCCTGGAGACTCACGGTAACATTCCCCCAGTTTTGGGGACAGTTGTGCGCTCACTCTAACCGCGCTGCATGCAAATACAGGTGTGTGTGTGTGCACTCCGCATGAGTGGAACGTTATTTGAACTTGTTACAACTGAGAAATATCTAAACCAAAAAAGTGTTCATCTTTCTCCTTCAAAGGCAATGCATATATTATCAGAGTTTTTCGTTTGCATTCTGACCACAAGTATTGTGGTTAATGCAGACATGATTCCTTGTAAAAGGTTTCAGTTTGGTGTTTTAACATCAACACCTGTTGCCAGAAAAAAGGGGAAAACCTATCATCATATTTCTCCTTCATGTAAACCCTAAAGCAGTGGTTCTTAGCCTGGGGTGCACACACCTCTTGGGGGTGGGGGTGTGAGATGCCCTTTATGGGAGTGTGACACATTGCAGATTTTTTTTTTAAGGTAAATCATCAAAACACAAATTAAGCATGGGCATGTAAGTACAACTACTTTTTTCATCAAACCTATGTATTAGCATACATTTTTTTCACGATTGAGAACCAAAGGGGTGCAAGGCTGCATTAAAAGTAAAACATCACTGCCCGAAAGGGTTCGAATCAGACCCACACTGAAATACCTTGGGAAACCCAAGAAATTAAGAAATGGAGGCACAGAAACATTTAATTATGCTGTAGACAAGGGAAAAAGGGATGTGTGGGTATAGGGATTATTGTGAATCAATGATCATCCTTGAGACTTGCGAACTATGAAATGGGCCAAAAATAGTGACTTTAGGGTCCATCTCTGATGAAGTGAACAAACGTTTTATTTTATGGCTTTGTTGTTGCAGGCCAAGAGTTTGCAGCAAGTGATGTCCAATCGGCTGGCTGGAGGCTTGCCTGTGTTGAAGAGAAAACGTGAAGGGGATGATGCAGGTGTCGCCACCAACTCCTGCATGTCTACACGGTTGAAGTCAAGGATGACAGCACCACAGACAAGTGGGTGACTGCACGACACGGCTGCTATGTAATGAGCTACAGAATATTTACCTGTGCAGTGCAATATTGTCTAAATACTGGGGAGAATTACTCTAGTTGTCAATATAATGCTGCATGAAGCCTGTAATGGGGAGTTATTTGACTGGACTTTACAATGCTGGTCGGTGTGGGTTTGTGACGGTGGGGAGTATAGATGCGAGAGCAAATAGTGACAGGACCTAGTTCAATGCTACTATTATAAACAATAACAATTACATCGTCAAAAGAGCTCCAAAAGTTTGCTGGAATCTTAAGTGTGGAATGTTTGGCTGTTGCATTTTACCCATAGGTGAGCCAAACGTGAAGAAACTGAAAACTGACGCCACCAGTCAACGAAATGCACCGCGAAAAGTACAGTCGGTTCAACCTCTGGCCAAACGAGCTTGTGTGCGGAAAACCACAAACAGCAGAAGCACCATGTCTCGGGGAGAGGAGAACGCCAGGCCAGCCCCTTCAACTCTGCACCCTGTGATACCGGTGACGAAAGCCGGGCAGCCGGGTGGCTCTAGACCTCCGCCTCGTCCCCTTGGTCTGCACTGCTTGAACTGGGAGACAAAGAGTCGAGCAGGGCCTACGGGCAAGAGCGCGGCTAAGATTGCACCAGCAGACAAGCTGCAGTCAAAGGTGTGATGTTGTCCTGTTTTTTGATTGACGCCAGCAGTTTGAAGTATTATTTGGATGTTTTCACAATTGTATAGGCCGAGTACACATGTTTTGGTGTTGTCAACTTGTGTTGCTCTGATGGACAATGGTGTTAATGCATTTTGTAATATTTGCCTTAGAGTATCATTGAAGAATGAAATTTTTGGGAACATGCAGTATATAAAGTTAACTTATTCTTTTCTTACTCGCCTTTTGCCTGTACAAGGATGGGTGTATTGCAGTAAATCTGAAACTTGCAAGCAAAAAGCAGACCGCGACGTGATATTCATTGCATCCATTCGTGTGCAATTTGTAAGGGCGCGGTGACAGACCTATTTCATTTAAAGGTGATAATCCCTTGCTCATCGTGACGTCCTTTTTACTTCCATATCTCAATAGCGTTACGGAGATCGCGTGACTTGAGGGTTCTGCTTTTGTAGTGAGGGTTATAAGTTGAGGAGGCCCCTCGCTCCCCCCCCCATGTGGAGTGATGTCACCCGCTAATTATTATTAATGGCGGGGGGGTCCATTTGGAGGACGTCACCTGTTCGTGATTATTAATGAGGGGGGCTGGTCGACGTGGAGTGACGTCACGCGCGGGACACACAGACATTCTTAGCTCATTATAGTTAATAACCTATGGAATGATCTTCCCCTTCCAGTATATGGAGTGTCATTATTTGTAATAAATTCAATTCTAAGTGTTTTCTTAGGCATTGTGGTAATGTCAAATCTATCATATGAATCTTTGGACTATGGTGGTATACACCTATAAGACATGCATTCTTACGTGCAATTCTATTAACTTGTGTGTATAAAAATAAATATATATTTTCAGGATCGTAACATTCCGATCATTCAGCACTTGCCTTTTATGAAAAGCAATACTATATATACACGTTGCTCTGTAGTAGCTGGCCTAATCAGTAGTTGGGCCAGCTGTCAAGCTCGGCATTACAAAAAACTACTTCCAGAAATTCAAGAGATGCTTTGGTGAGGATTCATTATAACCATAAAAGAGTGCATGTTGCCAAGGCTGGAAAATAAACGCTGCAAAATGTCAACTATCACAGATGGTATTGCTTGGGAAATTGCTTCACTCCATCTCATGGAGTTGGCATTGTAGAATTTCCATGGTGGTACATGGGGCATCTGTAGAGCTATTGTATGCTTACATTTTCCAGAACATATGCTGCCGACTGTCATTTGAGTTTTAGAAATAAATTCCTTGGCGATTCGATGAGCTTCATTAAAGCTCATTACACATTAATACAATTACTTTTCTTCAATTTCGAAAACAGGATGCATAACAAACTACTCGTTCTGCACTTGGGACACATGCTCACCTTGACTGGATGTTAATTTTACAGAATTTCAATTCCATTGCATGCCACGGCCTGGTCAATGCTGAGACTTGTTGCTATATTATTGTTGTTCGCACTGTGCTGCAGGTACACAAGGCCAACCCGGTACGACGGTACAAGAAAGTGGAGGTGATGGGCAGTGACAAACCCCTTACCAGCCCAGTCTCTCCAAAATTCTCTACTCGTTTCAACAAATGAACATTGTTTGCATGTCACTGTATATATAAGAAAGTTAGTAGTTTCGCGCGCGTGTGTGTGTGCGAGTCTCATGCGGTACTTGCCTCCAAAATGTAACGCCGTTTCTTTCCGGGACACGGAGAAAGGAAACCATTACACAATGTAACACAATTTTTGTTCCTGGGTAGTGTTAGTTCGTAATTGCTTATGCCTCAAAAGTATATAAAATGGCTGTTATTCCCCACAAACTTTGCTTTTGTGACCAGGACAGTGATATTTTTAAATTGACCTATTTTCAATAAGAAAACGGGCGAATGTGTCTTTTAGTTCACATAGTCAGAAAAAAACTAAACGACTCAAAATTAACATGTATTTATACTAAAGTAATACAAAAATGACTACGAAAGTATTAGGAGTAGTTTTTCGTGATTTACGATTATACTGTAAATCACTTTTACGAATCAGCCCCCAAATGGAGTTTATAACATAAAATTCCGAGCAACAATTGTCCATCTTACTTTGTTTTTTTTTGCATTGCTAGCAGGTGAAATGAGGTGCCCAGGGTTTGTCTTGATCCTCGACAGGCATGCCAAAATGTGTCTTGTAGGCTTCACACATCTTAGCAGATGCTTCCACAGAGTACTTTTTTGCTCTCGTCTTGATAAATTGGCCGCAGACATAGCAAAATGCGTCTGCCAGATGCTTGCAGCCTCTTGATGCCATCTCAGAAAAATGCAGATATGATCCTTATGGCAGTACCCCAGGGTACCAAATAATACAAACTGGCCGAGGCAATTAAATATTTTATTTCTGGGACACCTTTTTCCAGGGGTGTACTTAACTTCGCGACTGGGGTACCAATCAATTTGAAATCGGTGCCACTCCGCGATGTTGAAACGCAGCGAGGACGATTGCGCTGAAACCCTGAACGCTCGCGGTACGCACTTTGTGGGGCATCGTGTACAGCTCGTCGAGATGAGTCGATTGCCGCATCGCCGACCATCAGCAGACTAAAAGTGACTAAAAGTGGACATTATGCGAGAGCCGGGGTACTATGGTACCCCGAGGTACCGCCATAAGGTTCATATATATCCACTTAGGCAGCTGGAACTAAACTGAACTGGTGGGCTTAACGCCCCTGTATACTATTTATATTACTGGAAAGTTCTAAAATGTTCTAGAAGTTACTCGAAGTTTACTCGGCACTAAATCTATCTGGAATGTTCAGGAAAATGGGTACATTTCAAAATATCACTGTCCTGGTCATAAAAGCAACATTTTCTGTGCTTTGAGGCATAAGCAATTAGGAAATAACCCAGGAACCAAAAATATTGTTAGTGTTATCAACCACAGGGGGGGATTTTATCCCATTAATTCACAATTTTACAAAAAACTTAAACCTATTTAAATTGTAATGTGTTAATCATTGTACAATAATAGTTGTAGTGATTTTATAATGCTTTATCTTGGTTTTTTTAAAAGTAAATCCATGCGAAACATTTGGTATTGTCCCCTCCCCCCAGATAATTCAGTGATACCTTCTGAATAGCCAAAAAGCTACGGTGAGCAATGTGGATCAAAGCCGATGGCAATAACGCGATTTCTTATCACGTTAATTTGCCATCATTGGACTGACGTACGTAAGAATATTTAAAATTGCAGAATCCGGTGAGCTATTAAGCTCTTTTTTTTACAGATGTCCAGTAGGGGTGGGTAAGAAAGTTGTAAGTATAAAAACATGATCGTGCAGGACACAATGTTAAGCAGTCGCTTTACCTTCCAGAGTTTACGTTGACACTGCCCCATCACAAGCTATGTTTGAAAGTTGTAGCAGCAATCGTCGATTCAAAATGACTGGAGAACCAAGGTCTCTGCAGTGGAACGAGACTGCATCTCATGTTCTTGGTTCTTTCGGTAAAGTCACGTAGATGGAAACCAAAAATTAAAAGCAAAAAAACCCACGACGTTTCGATCGCAACACAAAGCGGTCTTCAGGTGGAGAGAAAATAAGACTGAATCTACCAATTGACAAGACTTTGCATTGACGCGATGATTGACCGTCTCTCTTCATGGGAAGAGTTTTCATTCCTCGCATTACAGTGATCAGCAACGAATCCAGTCTTCCGTTCCAACTGCGAAGACCGTTCCCTGTTCAAGTTGTATTTGCAAACAATCAAAGCTCAAGGACGGTCCGTTCATCATTTGGGACTTTCTTTGCCGAAGCCAATTTTTGCTTGTGGAAAGTTGTGACATTGTCAAGGGTTACATCAAGATCTAATGCCACCGCATTGATTGAAGACCTAATTTGTTCAGAAGAGGATGGAGTGTATAGGAGAAATGTTGTAGGTCGTGATAATACACTTCGCTTCAGTTTTCGAATTGCATTTGATACAATCTTTCTGCATACTGTGACACAGATCTCATCGCTTACATATTCACGCATGAACAACCTTATCCATTGGGTCCGGGTAACGCTCCACCCCCCAGCCAGTACTTGTACATTTGTACTATATTGTAGCTCAGTTTCCTTAACATTACAGCAAGCGGAATTACATGTACGAAAATTAAGTTAACATTTTTTAGCAGATCAGTTAATCTGCTGTTCGGTTATTTAAAGCAATTATCCTTCAGCATGTTTTATTCATTGTATTTCAATAACCAGCTCGGTAACCTTAAGAATTAAGCATTTAATGATATGTAATGAGTAGTTAAGTTTAGATTTGTACCATCTGTGCGTTTGTATTCTGCAATGAAATTTAAAATCAACTCTTGTAGTTGTCAAATGGGACGTAACATAGGTCAACGTTTAAATGTTCAGATTGACGTTATATTTTGATTGAAAGGATTTGAAACCATGTAACTTTTGTGCTATTCTGCAGTCTGCCTATTAAGCTACTTGTACATTTTTTTAAGCTGCATTTTTCCATGGGCATGGTTGTAAACAAAAATAAACCTAATTTTACATTTCTTTGTCATCGTGTTTATATACTGTATGAAGGACATGAACGCGTTTAACCTTATTTTATTAGTTTTATTGATTTTTTTAAACAAAGTTCAATGCAATTGCAGATGTCGCAAACTTGAAATGCAAAGTGAAAACGGAAGCCAAAGCCTGGGATGCATTTGTATGTGAAAAGAATAGCCTAAACGTGTAAGACGCGCATACTTTTTATTATTGTCAATGCATTGCAATATTTGTCACGGTAAAATAAAAATGTTAACTTACATAAATTACACTGCTGACAATATCCTGTGGACTTAATGACTGGCCAATACCTCAATGAATTTTAATATGCGCTTCAAATGGATTACACCAGTGATGGCCCAACTAGGATAAGATGAAAATACCATGTTCTACATTTGTTTTTAACAAGTCTCGGGTCACGTTTAAACTCGGCTAATGTTTGAGATGCTCGTATCTAGCTAATGCGTGCCACGGTTCTGCACAAAGCGTAAGCAAGTTAAAACATTTAAAACTCAGTCTGACGTAATTCTGAGTGCTAGGGTAGTGCATATGTTGAGATAAATGCAATACAGTCAGCTAAACTAGTCGCCTATTAAGTGAGATTGGTATTCCAGGTCACGAAAACAGGCACACAGTGATCACAATTACATTGTGCAACCGTCCAGACATCATGGTTTGCAGATGTTTAATAGCTGTTTGCGCTCATACTATTCAGTGGGTGCACACAAATTGCATTATAAATTGCAGTGCAAGTGAAGATAAAACCAAAGCCACGTGTAGAAGTGCGGTCAACTTTCACCTGTTGGTAAACCTGCACACCTGCTGGATGCAGGTTGGTGCCATGTTACACTATTAGGTTATTGATATCTGAAAACACGAATGCTCAGATTTTTGTATTTATAAATTAATATTGTATTCGATTTGTTCTCGTGTAAAACAAGTGTACTTTTATTATATTCTCTTCCTGGTTTTCCCTGCACGTATAAAGCCATATATTTTTAAATCCTTTATATTAAGTTCGCTTGCTTAGGACCGTGCAAATCTTTCGGTCGTTTTTTAACCCACTTCCCGTGATCCAATCGAGCTGATATTTTCCACACCGACTCGTTGTGCGTGACAATTCATGTTCGTGAAATTTTTTTCCCAACATTTTACACTTTTTAGGACAAAAATATATTTAATTACCAATTGCTTAATGGTGCAATGCAATCATCTGACCCATAGGTGGCAGCCATCTCAAGCCAGAGGACGAGAGGACTCTAGCTGCCACGCATATAAAGGATTTATAGTGAAAAGCTTTGTTTTTACTGGTTATACTTATTTATGACTAAACTGAATATAAAATACAATATGGCTTATATGTACGAGCTGCTATAAAACCTTTGTAATTTTTTATTTGTTGGACTTGACGTCTCTAAATTGCTAATAGGAAAGTAAAAGTGGCTCTGGATAATCTTTGGAACATTTATAACTACTGTACAGTATTATTTATTTTGTTTTACAATGTAGCGTATATTTTGTAAACAATATAATCTGCTCGTCCATACATAATTCATCTAGCGCTTACATACCTGTAAACCCTTTAACAGTGCCTAACTTATTACAGACCAATTCAGACTTTATTGGCCACCCCGTGCTCTTATACATCTCAACGTTAATCCTACAAAATCCCATCACAAGTGGGAAACAAACTAATTGACAGAATATTGTTTTGTCCGTATTGAAACGGCTGTGCGCCGTATGGACCTGAAAACTCAATTTCCCTGTACAAGAATACGGGGTTGACAGGTATGTACATACTCTTTAGTTCTTTCGGTAAAGTCGCGTAGGTAGAAAAATAATAGATCACGACGTTTCGATCGCCACACAAGCATCCGTCTTCATGTACTTATCTTTATCCAGACACAATTTAGCAGTTTGGGCAAGACTGCCATTTAAGTGGCCCACATTTATGTTGCCTGGCCAACACTTCGCGGAACACGTTCATCAAAAAACAAACACATCACAAATATTACAATTCAGACAAAAAAAACCCCCAGCAGATTGCTAAATGAAAGGAAATATATTTCCATACAGTAATACTCAGGTAGAGTTTTCCTGTGTTGAAATACGTAAAAAGCTGTTAGTGTCCACAATACTGTATTAGTATTAACAATGCTGGTCCGATTAAATTGGTCTGCTGGCCTATCCCAGTTATGCTGTCAAACTATTTATATAAAACGTACAGACGTAATTAAACGGCAACACTACTTTTGTTTCTCCACCACTTAAATCTAGAATCACTACTATATTACACTCAAATTATGTGAATTTATTTGGATTGTTAAGTCAAGAAGGGCAAGATAAGAACTCCACTTGTAGGTTCCAATCTAATTGAGACAATAAACACGCATGGGATCAGGTCCTGACAAGAGTCCAGTTCTGGCAGAATAGAAAACATCTTGGCATTGAATATAATTGGTATTAAATAATAAAGTAAATAACAGCCCTTTTGTCAATGCACTGTTGGATGACGGGTCAGCATCGTTTTAACTTATGCAGTTTAGTTGTTTTTCTATTTAACTGGCCCCAGATTTATTCTCAAAGGCTCTTTGTTGGAACGAGTAACCTTGCAGAACTTTGTTTAACAAACCCATTGACAACAAAAAAATGGACAAAATGGAACCCTTCCATATGTCAACAGCCAAAAAAAAATACTGACTTCCTGTATGATCTCTGTACATTGATCCATTTTGTATATTTCCCCCTCAAGTATTCGGGAGCAGGTGATGAAGAAAATACAATTTTATTTCAAAGCCTTTACATATCTCCCACATAAATCTCAATCCACTTATCTGTTAAGAGCCATTCGAAATCGCAGGGTTATATATATATGGATTACCCTCCATATCTTTCCTATATATTCGTTGTGAAATTTTCCAAAAATTGTAATTTACGTCGATTGAAATGGATTACTTTAAACAAATAAATTAACACCAAATATCCATACTGCAGTTTAACACGTAGGCAATTTACAATGCAAATTTGGAGGGCAAATCCACATGGTAAATTGTTGGAGAGTAAATCAACACAAAGCTTGTAAATGTTGCGTGAGTTTACTCTCTAACACATCGGTGTGCTGTACTCGTAACGAATTGCCATGTTTTGTTTACGTGACAAACATTACTAATTGGCTGTGTCGGGGGGTGGCGGGTTTAACGACACATTTATATTTACGCGCTCCAACCCAAAAAAAACATATTATGGATACATATTGCAGTTGACTGTTTATGAGTTGCATTTGAATGGGTGGAGTATGAGTACGTACTTGAGTCTAGAATCACCGCACTAACAGGAGACATTAAGAAATGGTGCTGACGACACTGCTCACGCAGAGCAGTATAAATTAAACCAATTATAAACTTGAATTGTCAGCATCGTTTCAAATTGAAGCATTAATGAGCAGAAATGAGATTGGATAAACAGGATGGCATTTTGTGTTTGCAATAACGATTTCCCTAATTGACCTAGCCAAATACAAGCCACCTTCAAAGCGTGCCAAGCTATTTTCAACAATGCAGTGTTGTGATGGGTGGGCCAAATTGCTTTAGGATATTTTAATTTGCTCAAACCAACCGAATCAAAGCCCAAACAATGTAAACACAAATGCATCCACTGCGAACCGAATCCTTGATGGAATTTGCAGTTGTAGAACACGGAATATCGTGAAGTGAAGGAAATCACTGCAGAATACAATTAAATTAGTTTATAATTTTCGATTTAAAGCTTTCGTGACTGCAGGGATTCATCTTCTTGGTTCTATCGGTAAAGTCACGTAGAAGGGAAATAATAAAAGAATAAAAATAAAACATAATAAAATTATTTTCACGACGTTTCGACCACAACGCTGTCTTCCCGACAGATCTGTTCTTCACCTGAGGACGGCTGCTTGCGTTGTGGCCGAAACGTCGTGAGAATGATTTTATTGTTTAATTTTTATTATTTATTATTTCCCTTCTACGTGACTTTACCGAAAGAACCAAGAAGATTAGTTTATGTTTTTTTTAAAATGCTGTCATCCACGTTCTATCCACGGTTGGATGAAGGTCTCTCCATGACCTTGCCACTCCGGAACGGTCTCGCAACGCCTCTCGCGCCTGCACATGAGCTGATCTTATTGCTCAACCTCTGCGGTGGCCATGCTTTTCTCTTTTTTTAAATCCTTTATATTAAGTTCGCATGCTTGCTTGCTTGCTTGCTTACGACCGTGCAAATCTTTCGGTCGTTTTTTAACCCACTTCCCGTGATCCAATCGAGCTGACATTTTCCACACAGACTCGTTGTGCGTGACAATTAATGTTCGTGAAATTTTTTTTCCAAAATGTTACACTTTTTAGGACAAAAATATAATATTTAATTACCAATTGCTTAATGGTGCAATGCAATCATCTGACCCATAGGTGGCAGCCATCTCAAGCCAGAGGACGAGAGGACTCTAGCCGCCACACATATATATAAAGGATTTATAGTGAAAAACTTTGTTTTTACGGGTTATACTTGTTTAAAGCTTCGACATGAGCTTTGTTTTTCTCATTTCTTTTTAGCCCAGAAATGTACCCTTCTTCGTTAAGCTCTTAAATTATTTCATGTAGTTCATTTCTACCATTGCAAATATTTGCCAGATAGAAGGGTAAAAAACCAATTATCATATTTTTTACTGGCAAATGAGGTTCCAATGCTTACCCCGAGCTCTCATACTCTGATGGTGCATTGTCTTTGAGTTGTGCGCCTTTTGGCGTCATCTGGTCCAACCCATGTGAGACTCGGCTCTAAGGAAAGCCGTCTCGGGTGTGGACCAATCAACTTCAAGGACAATGCATAAATTATCAGAGTTGTGTTTTTTGTTTGCATTATGACTGCAGGTATTGTGGTCTATGCAAACATGACTCCTTGTAAAAAATGTGTCAGTTTTGTTGCCAGATAGAAGGGTAAAAACCAATTATCATAGTTCATTTCTATTGGTTGCTAAAGATAATTCAGTATACTCAATCAATTGCTTTTTCATAGTTTATATATATATAAACATGTGGTGTTTCGATTTAAAGCTTTCGTGGCTGCAGGGATTCATCTTGGTTCTTTCGGTAAAGTCACGTAGAATGGATTATTATTATTTTATTATTTCCATTCTACGTGACTTTGCCGAAAGAACCAAGAAGATGTGGTGTTATATGATAAGTATTTGTCATTTCAAGAATAACACTGACAGTATGTCTGGTGAATGGTAAAACAAAACATGTTCTAAATCCTGCTAGCTCACATGGTTGGTTGGCCTCTAAATTGTCCATTATTCACTTGTGTATGACATTCGAGAACAATATACACATGTAATAAGAACATTTGCGCACACAAAAAATAATTACACTATTTTCTCTCAACAGGTCTGAGGTCTCAAATGAAACACAAATAATTTGTTCATGTTAATTTTGGAGCTTTCGTGACTGCAGGAATTATTCTTAGGTTCTTTCGGTAAAGTCACGTATAAAGATAAAATAATTAAGATGAAAGAAAAAATATTTAATTTATTATTTTATCTGTATACGTGACTTTACCGAATAAACCAAAGAATAATTTGTTCATGAACACATTTTCTGTGAAAAAGTCTTCCTACCGTTTCCAAAATTGCAATTCAGTGAAGACGTTTTTCAGCGCTGAGTATGCAGCAATATAAATGCTCTCCCATCTGCCAAGGCAATCTGGAGGCTCAAGTAAGGCATCCGAGACACGTGATTAATCTACACGCCTGATTGGAGAATGCTGAGGAAGCACGTAAATTGAATAAATTCATCTTGTTTTTTACAAAAAGTATGCCAAATGTCTTAATGCCTGCAAGAGATTGAAGCTAGCCGACATTTGCAGAACACTCCACTAGCACCGGCACGTTATGTTCTGTGCCTCTCAGAAGCTCATTAGAGTACCCAGCACTTTGAGTAACCCAGTCTACCGAGGCAACCACTGGAAAAGTGCTGCTGCTGCTGCCCCTGCGTGCTCCATAGAGTTTGACAAAATAACATTCTGCCACTACACAGATTCAGATGTGTATAGAGGCAAATGGAGGCCAAAGAGTTAAAGTGGACAACTCAGAGTGTCACAGACATGCTAGATTTAGTTTTGCTAGGGCCTTTCATTAGAATGCTACAAACATGCGTTTGTCACAGGGGAAAAACTAAGTGTTTTTTTTCCCGCACTTCTATACCTCATTAAGGCAAGGCTACTCTCTGTGTAACTATAACTTGGCAGTGCAAACAGCGATATGGAAATTTAAATCGAATATTATGCATAAATGCGCTGAAGAGCACAAAAAAAAGTTATTGTAACTACATGCTCTGTGATGCATATCTGTACTCGGCAGATACGAACAGAGTACTGCTCATTTATAAAGAATTGCCACGATGGGATACGTGCATAGCCGTTAAAATGACTCAATTATGCAAACAATCATAGTTTTTTTTTCATGCTGGGGCTTGTATTATTTGATGCCTAGAGACAAGAATGAATTGGCATGCTGAGATGGCCAGATAGCTCAGGGTCCAGTACTGTGGAGATCCTGGGTTGGAATCTGGGCTATGACCCTTAATGAATCAGAGTTCTTAGACGCAGTGAGCTAATAGTCTCCCAGTCTGGTCAACGATGACTGCACACACATACAAAAAAACTCAAATACATTTAGATGTGATTCTGCATCACATTTGGCAAAATTCTAGCTCTCAGAATTAAAATATGGATTTGATTGTCGTAGGATAAACATTATTCTCTGTAGCAAGGTGGGTGGGAAAGTGCTGCCCCTACTGCGTAATAACACAAAGAGGGCAGCTGTGCAAATCAAAATGACAAAGTATTTTTTCCCTCTGTATGCTTAATAAAAAAAAAAATTCTTAATACCAGTCACAAACCTGACGAGAAAATGCAAATTTTTTTTGGAGAAGTTTGTGTGCATTTGTTGGTGCAACAATAATAAAATAGCAAAAAAAAAATTGGCGCTTTATTGCTTTCAATATTTCAAAATTCCACTTGCATGTACACAACAACGTATAATGCAGACTCATTACCCCCAAAACCCGAGCTTTTCTCCTTTGTGTAATGGAAAAAAACACATTGTACATACAAACTTTCTGACATCCTATCCCGTCAATGCAAAACATGCTAATCTATGTTGTTTGTCATTTATTCTTTTTTACTTGCGAGGTCTACAAGGACGCAATGTTCCAAAATGAATAAACTTTAAAGCATTGACAATCAGTTGTGACTGTGAAGCCGTGATATTAACGCGGACAGATTACCAGGCAGTATACCTTTTGTCTTGTGTAAAGATGTTAATACATTGCTCCAGCATTTGCATTGGTCCTGCGCCAACACGCACACACGTGGATCTCACGTGAATGCACGTGCCCTGCACCACTCGATGGCATTCTGCAAGTGTTCCTCTTCGTACACATACCTGAGACCAATTATCAAAATAGTAGCAGATAACGCAGTTAGGACTGGGAGTCGGGCACCGCACAATGCCCTAGGGTAGGAGTCTGGACCGTACGTCCGTGTGAAGGCATCAATCACTCCGTTTTTGGAGAAGTGCAACCTTCTTTCTTCATCATGCAGCGACGAACTATGCTGTCGAAGCTGCACAGGTAGAAGAGGGAGATGAGCCGGAAGAGACCCATGGTCACCACCTGCCAGACACGTCACAATCATCATTACCCATCACTGTAATAACTTCATGATATTCACTGGGTGGCTGGGCAGCCAAGTGATGAGATTTGACAATTACATCGATGCACAATGGCCTACCCATGACAATTCTGCGTGTGAGAGCCCACGGTGTATATTTGTGCAAAGAGCGTAAGTGGCAGTAAAATCCACATGCGCATGCTTATTCGGTTTTAATGGTGCCTGCAGAAACATGCACTTCTTTTAATTCCATAAATCAAGCCTTCAACAACCTCTGGCTTAATGTGAGGGACGAAAAAAACCTCACATTCGCATCAACAGAGCACCAAATTGCCACCTACGCCGCGAAACCCACAGATGATTTACCGTAAAAGGGCATGAGGGAGCGATGTGCCGAGGGCTACCGGGGGCAGGCACACAGTGAAACTCTCAAGGGCGGTAGAGCATCCACCATTAAATGTCTATATGCAGCATCAAAAAAAACAACAATAAAAAAAATTGGAATTTAATTTACTCTAGGTCGATGGCCACTGGGCATCTATATAAATATGTCAATTGTTCCATGGCGTAAGGATTACGATCATTAAGCCGAGTGCAGGCAATCAGCGATGGGTTTTCTACAATTCTAGCTTGCCTGTTCAGCCAATGGAATAAGGCTGCAGCACTCAAGGCAGCCGATTAGAACAAAAATAGTCAATTAGAGTTTGGACGACTCTTTTATTAAATCCACATTTCTCTGTATATCCTTACACAAATGCCATCATGCTCCAACCAGAATAAATATTAACTAATTGTTAAAACTACACTCCCTCTGAATTGTTCGCCTACACTAATACGGCAACGTCGATACTCTTATTTAATAGGATCCAGCGCAACCGATAATAAACAGAGACCCATGAGTTAATGTAATGTTGTGTTACACAGTATTTCAGAAACCAGATTAAATATTAATGGGTTTTAAAAAGCCTATGCTAATAAAGAAATACATTATTTCAATGTTTTTTTTAAATATCCAAAGCAGCTAGCTGTACAAAACCACCAATGTTTTAAACAATTGTACACATAATATATTGTAGTCCTAGCTTGTCCGCCAAATGTAAAGGAAACGCAAGAAGTAATTTGCGTCCTGTGTTAAATCAATTAATCTGCCACTCATGTCAATGCAATTCCCTGTGAACCAATGGACTAATCGCAGAAAACATCGTGGGAAGGCTGAATCAGCTCGCATCCTCAAAACAGAACAAAAAAAGCCACGTCAGAAATTGCTTTTCATGTCAACATTTCAAAAGGTCATATCAGAGCAAGGTCACAGTCCTACGCCAATGTGATTGCTGACACTGTGCAATGCCGGGCTCACCCTCATTGCCTTTTTGCCTTTGTGTGTAGCTTCAACAACAGCCACACACAAAAAGCAAAGGCATATTTAGGCTGAGTGTAGAGGTGTTTTTTTTCTATTCTCCCATAACATCCTGTCCCTAAACCTCAACCTTCATAATACAATTCTTATTACTTTTTATAATACGCAAGTTCTCCTGTGTGTATACCATCTTGACATACAGTTATATTTGTACCAATAGCAGTGTAGAAAAATATATTGAATTGTACTGTTCCAACGTCTATTCCCCCACCCCCATCTTCACCAACTCACACTGACCAATGTGGTAAAGTACGGTTAATGAACTGTTAGAAGGCCCTCATCCAGCAGTAGACTTACAAAAGGCCATAAATGTAATATGCAATTGCTTATTTATGTCACTGCTGACACAAGGACTTCCACTGTAGGGACCTCAAGAGGGTAAGTAGCCTACTCTTCCACACTGGTCAGACATCTTTAATGAGGTGGGAGGAGCCACACTTTACCATACCACAAACGACCTGCTGATTGGAGGACCCATTGTGAGGGTGGACAGAGGCAGTGTAGAATTAATAAACTTGCTCATTGTGTCCACTGTCAAGCCAGGAGATCAAAGTTAACTATTGACCTCTGCACTGCCGGTCCAGTGTGCTTACCATTACACATTCATAGAAATCTGCAGCGATATTTCAGCAAAGAACAAGAGGCTATTTGAGCCTGTGGGTGGTTGGGTGTGCACCTGCTGAAGGCCCTCGGTGATGCTGGTGACTGGGGACATGCCGGACGTAAGGGAGCAAAGCATGTAGCCGTCGGAGCCCACAGAACTGTTAAAGTTTCCGAGCTGAAATAATGGAAAAAAAAGCAAGCGCCAACGTGTCAAATGACGAGGTGTGAGATTCAATAGACAAACTCTTGCCGCGAAAGATGAATCACCGTGACAGGCCTACCATTATTGTACTTAGCCCCATTCACACACATTTTAATGGAGACAACACAAAGGTGTAAAATCAAACAACGGATGTTTTTCACCCCCATGTCAGCCGATTCTGTTGGAAATGTTACAGCCCACACACAATGACTGTAATGACATATTTGTTCTCGGGCTAGAAAAATACCCATTGCACTGAGCTTACCCCTAAATGGAAGGCTTTACTAATGCATAAGTGAAACTTTGCAAAACGGAACCAACCAGTTGTGCATAAACAGCACATGCTTTAGGTCAGCAGGTAATAACGACTAAAAGCCATTAAATTGCCACCTGATATACGATTTTAAAAAGACGATTGATTAAATGTTTCTCTCTCATCTTTAGCTGTTGAATGCATCAAATATTGCTTTACTACAAAACGAACATTTACCACGTTCAACCAATCGCCTGCAATTCAATACGGGAATGAGTCATGTGACCTTTTCTGCAAATTGCATTCATCCCCACAGACCGAGAGCCATTCGTTTGTGTGTATGTGTACGTATGCACGTGGATTAGATCTGTTATTACAATCACTGAAATTGCAGCTGTCAGCGTGAAGGCTATTTTAAGGAAAAATGCTCCACAGAGGAGATGCATATTCATGCTTCTGAACTCGAGAAAAGCATTCTCACAGTTCTACGCAGGAACATGAAGCAACAAGAATTCACGGAGGATGACTTTAACTGGAACTAACAAACAGCAGAAACGTTACAAAGTGCAGTCAGCTTCTCCAACGATATTTAACTGAATTAGAATAAATAATATAAAAAAATATATATATATAATCTAGTGAAGGAACTAGTTGAATAACATATATAAATACAAGCATTCTGGGGCTAAGCTACCATGGGATAGGTGGCACCAAGGCATGTTAGCGAACATAGTCTTCTTATGTATGTTGATTAACTGTGAATAACCCCACTAGTAATAGATATTATTTGTAATTTATATGACTAATTAACACCCCCTTCTGGTCTTCTCTCACAGCGACTACATCCCATGTACCCCTCAATTAAAGACCGAAACAGGAAGATTTCTCCACACTTGTGGTTGTCGCCTGATGAGGGTGGGTGTCATTACTGGCATAACGTCGCACTCGAATTGTAAATGTTGTGAGTTTACTATCCAACACTGAACTCGTAACTAATTGTCATGTTTTATTTAAGTGACAAACCTTAACTAATTGGCTGTGTCGGGTGGTGGCGGGATTAAAAACACATTGATATTTATGCGATCTAACCCCAAAAAAAACCTCAATTACGGATAACATCGTCTTAGTTCATTCAATCTGTTGAACATGCTTTGGTGGTTAGGATCAAGTGCAGGTTATGGCTTACCACAGCATCCTTTACGATGATCTTTGCAACAAATTCTGGTTGGTAGAGGCCGGCGGTCTCTGATATCAGCTTCGTCTCCAGTGGCTGCAGGAAGCGAAATAGCAGAGCAGATTGTTAAAAGTTATTGCAATACACATACATAATAATATTAGTTCAATTTATAACGCGCGCAAATTTGCAGACGTAGTGGCCGCAACTCAGAGGCGCGGAGCCAAGCTCAGAGTCGCTCGAAAGCATGATTGTAGAGGTGAGTTTTTAAGTCTCTCTTGAAGGAGGCGATTGAGGTGATGCTGCGAATGTGCAGAGGGGATATCGTTCCAGACTGTTGGGGCTGCCACCGAGAAGCGGCGCATAGACACGGTGACCATCCTGGATCTTGGTATCAAGAGGAGGTCGTGAGTCGCGCTGCGCAGGCATCTGCCGTGTGCTGAGCTGCAAGCTGTCAATAATGAAGGTACGGCGGGCAGGCGGATACGGTTTTCCAAAATCAAACAAAAATAGAGCAAAGCATGAACAAGGAGAGTGTACGTTTCAAACCGATGATTATTATGTCTGTTATTCGCCAGGAGCCAAGGACTGTCCTGCTATGTATGGTTGCTGTGGAAATCCCACCTTGCCCTTGATTTCCTCATGAAAGCCAGGGGTGTCCGTGTCTGGTGGAAAGGCCAGTGTCACGTACACATTGTATGGCTTAACCTGGAGGCAAACAACAAACATCACAGAATGCAGCCACTGCCACCACGGGCCACTTGGCCCAAGAACGTCTCTAGATTTTGAATCGCAGAACCCCTGAAGGGGCTTTGTGGACCATTATAACGTGCACGCAAGGTGATGCACATAACGAAGAAATGACAATGAACATTCCCGGTCATCATCATTCTTGTCAGCAGCCATGATCGATCCACTGCTGGATGAAGGCTTCCCCAAGTCGTCGCCATCTCTCATGGTTTTGAGATGTAACACGCCGCCCAAAGTACCTGCACACGAGCTGATTTCATTGCTGAATCTGCTCGCTGCACATGCTCAGGAACGACCAAGAGCGAAAGGATTGACCACCTGTTATCACATACACCAAGCTGGCTTAAAACAATGCCAGGTTTAAATGCTGAACACTAAAGAAATCAAACACTGGCAGTTGTTTTTTTTTAATCCGATTTCAACAAATATTTTGCAGTGAGCTATAACCAGAAGTGCTGTATCTTCACATTTCTGTCAAACCAATGGGATTCCTCACCCTAAAATGTTGCATGCACATCAAAGTGTCCCCCCATTTTGACTTAAGATGCTTCTCTTGCATCACCACGCTTGTGGAATGCTCTTCCCTTGGAAGAAAAAAAAACTTCGAATCCTTGGCTGCATTTAAGGCCTGGCCAAAAAAATATTATTCATGAGGTTTATGGTCAGTGTCGTAGCCCATGAACTATTTTCGTCTTAAAATCTAACAAAATATTTATTAGATATATTCCTAATAATATTTTTTGTTAAGTACAGTATACATTGCAGTTAATTAATTTCACATAATTTACTCTCAGTGCTTTAATAAACACAGTTTGTTTATCTTGTAAAGCAGGCCACTACTTTATAACAGATAGTAAATGTGTTTGGAGAGGTTGCACATTGAGACCTGCGTTGTAAATTGCACGGTATAACGATGCCGAAGTTATTTTCAAGCTTCCTTCAGCTTTAAGCAGAAGATAACATTTCGATGTAAATCTTTCGTGACTGCAGGGATTCATCTCCTTGGTTCTTTCGGTAAAGTCACGTAGAATGGAAATAATAAAATAATAAAAATAAAACATAATAAAATAATTCTCACGACGTTTCGGCCACAACACAAGCAGCCGTCCTCAGGTGAAGAACAGGTCTGTCGGGAAGATATTCAGACGCTGTCTTCTCGACAGACCTGTTCTTCACCTCAGGACGGCTGCTTGCGTTGTGGCCGAAACGTCGTGAGAATTATTTTATTATGTTTTCTTTTTATTATTTTATTATTTCCATTCTACGTGACTTTACCGAAAGAACCAAGAAGAAGATAACATTTGTTTAGCAGCAGATAATAGCCCTTTGATTAGCAGGATTGGCGACATACATACATGTTTTCATTCCGAATGACCCTTGCAACGTATGATCTTGTGTTTTGATTTAGTGTGCTGATCTTTAAAGGTGCATTTGAATTTTTTTTATACTCCTATTGATGCTCCTGCTGTTGTGGAGTGACTCATGTAGCCAGCTATGGCTACAGGGTTTGGTGGTACATGTTGTTTATGTCGTTCATTGTGAAATGTCGGTCACAGTTCCTATGATCACTGTTTCATTGCTTTTATGGCTTTATTTTGCTGATTTCGAAAAGTTTTTTGGTTTGGCCATGTTTGTTTGTTGTAGTACGGAGTTAGAATGATGGCTTTAGTCTAAGTTGTCTTGTGGTTGTTGTTGTTTGACTCGTATCCCACTGGGATTTTTGCACTGCGTTGGTGTACAGTGTTTTTTTTTGGAAGACTTTGCAGTTTTTTTCCTGGATTTTTCTGTTTGCGCATAGTCACTTTAAGATGTTTTCTTGTTCATGTTTTAGTTTTTTGTTTGTTGCGGTTGCACCCGATTCAAGAGCTGAATGGCTCTCAGGGCTACACCTAATACATGAAACTGAAAACTGGATACTTTGAGACCAGAGATCTCGTTTCTTTAATGAAGACCTGCTGCGTTGTATCATAGCAGCACGGCAGTCAAAGGTCTTTATTTAACACGATTTAATTTGCAGAAATACAATTGGAATAGAATATTCGTCAATTGTGAATTGTGTTGGAATATCCTGATCAACTAGACATGCCAACTTTTGAAGTGGACACATAGCTTCCAAACCAAAGCGATTGCTCATATTGCATATATTTACGTGAATTTTTATGTTTAGAAATGAAAATCTTACTGTTTTCACGGGGGGTGGGGGGTGGGGCAGGTTTTAAATAAAAATGAGAGAAATGTAATCTACACACTTCTCCACTGCATCAAACTGCAATGAATTAAAAAGCAGAATTCTGCAAGGAAATTACAGCTGCGAGCACTCAGACATTTTGGCCTGCCTCCAACTTCAGGGCTCATATTCAATTGCGGGACATTTTTTTTTACCAACAATTAGATCCACCCAATGACCCTTATTCACAGCTGTGCATTTGACATTGGTGCGGGCATTCTTTGCAGAAATTATGTGAAGCTTATTTTAAAGAATTTGGAACGAATACAAACAAAATAGTGAAAACCAGATAGTTTACAAACTCATGGATATGGTTTGCTCTGCTCGCTAAGTAATGCAAATTAATTTCCTTTACATTCAATTGAACAAAAAATAACAGTAACAACTGATGTAGGGAAACTGCAGAAGTACACAATCAGGATATTCTTAATCCACAGGTATATGAAGTCAGTGCATGGAATATTCCTACCCTCGCTTATTTTACCACTCAAAGGCCTTTCCTTTCTAAGTGAATTGGCTACATTCCTCATGTTGCTCATTTTGAAATCTAAAAATATTCTCTTAAACTATAAATCTATAAACTACTTTATTTATTAGGTAAAGTCCACTCAGCTATTTAATTCTTTTTCAAAAGCAACCTGCCCTGCTAATGAAAGCTCACCAAAGTGGCTTATCACGTGGAAATTTATACCAGCCAAATACTATAAACTCATGTTTCTAAATGTGCTGGGAAAACCCGGAGGACCCGGAGAATGTGCACATTCCAAATATACAGGCGTCAGGGTCGGGATCGAACCAGGCGAGACAGATAACATCTCACCACTACGGCGCCAGACAATTGCTTAACAGGGTATTCTCCTTTGTCAACATCGAGCTTAATTAAAGTAATATGTACGGTCAGCCTAAATGTTAACGAAGGTGATCCCTCGCTCAAACTGAAGGCCACCAATGCCGCCAGAACCACGCACACCTCCATCTGCAGGGCCTCGGCCAGACCGCGGAGGGCAAACTTGGTCGGCGAGTACGCCGTGAAGCCGTAGAGGCCGAGCTGACCAGCCTGCGAGGACACGTACACCACACGGCCCTTCCGCCGCTCCTTCATGCCCGGCACCACCGCCAGGCTGGTGAACACGCTGCCCAGGTAGTTGACCTCCATCAGCCGCTAATCCAGGCAGGCAGACAAACAGGTGCATGCGGAAGGGTATAAAACACACAAGAACACTGCTACACAATTCAGACTGCACGTTAATCTATACAGAGACAAACGTTTCGACACACATCAATAAAAGGGTAAAAGGTTGCAGCTCTGCAATTATGTGTTCATGCCACTGCTGGCAGAAGAGTGCCTCCGCTAACAATGAGAAGAATTTCAACTTGTAAAGTGCGGTTTTCACTCGCTCTCGACGAGATATAATGAATCAGGGGCACGAGGAACCACAGACAAGAGGGAAGGTAGCCAGGCAGTTAGCCGATGCCAACAATTGCCCCAAACTACGTGGTACTCTATATAGTGAGATGCGCTAAGCCAATCAATGATTGATTGTTTACACGTGGGAGGAAACCCGAGCTGCCGGGGAAAACGCAACACATGCGAAAAGACAACACTGTCCCATACAGGTGGAACAGATGGAGATTGGTCCACATTTTGCGGTAGTGTGGCACGTTGATGCCCACGGGAAGGGAGTTTCAAAACATTTGTGATCCACAACCCTCACTGTCCCCACAGCACCATTGGAACCTCATTTGCCAGTAAAAAATATAAAAAAAAAATTTTACCGTTCTAACTGGCAACAAAACTGACACCTTTTTTACAAGGAGTCATGTTTGAGTTGTGCGCCTTTTGGCGTCATCTGGTCCAACCCATGTGAGACTAGGCTCTAAGAAAAGCTGTCTCGGGTGTGGACCAATCAACTTCAAGGACAGTGCATATATTATCAGAGTTATGTTTTATGTTTGCATTATGGCTGCAGGTATTGTGGTCTATGCAAACATGACTCCTTGTAAAAAAGGTGTCAGTTTTGTTGCCAGATAGAAGGGTAAAAAAACAATTATCATGTCCCCACAGCGCTTGATTACAGCCGTGCGCCACCCCCCTTTACCCGCAAGAGAGCTCCCTTGAGTGTAAAGGGCCTACACTTCCACGCTGGCCAAACATCTTTGAAGAAGTTGCACCAACACTTTGGCTCACCACACACACCTTGCCAATCATCTAAGGTGCACCCAGTTGTACTCCTGGGTAGATATGAGGCAGGGGGAATAAGAAACTTGCCCATGAATACTCTTATTATTTTATTTTACCAGGTAATGCCCACTGAGCTATTAGCTCTTTATCAGAAGCGACCTGGCCACAAATGATAGCTCAAAGAAATGGCTTATCATGTGGAAATTTAGATCAGCCAAATACTCTAAACGCATGTTTCTAAATGAAAAAAATCTACACGACCACGGAGAGAACATGCAAACTCCAAATATACGGGCGTCAGGGCCGGGATGAAACCCACGACCTCTTGCACACCAGGCGAGGTAGTTAATATCTCACCATCATTGTTTCAACTACGTGCTAACCATGACACCTCGGCATCATCCCCAAATGTAGTAAACATTATAAAGATATAGACATGATACAATGTCCCAATATTGACCTGAAATAGGCCTTCAGCTATTTTGCCTTTTTGCTGCGAACCTTGAACTCCTGAGGTTTGATGTCTTCAAAGCGTCCGGCGATTGAAGTACCTGCAGCATTGACGAGCATGTCCACCGGCCCAAGTTTCTCTTGAGCCTGGATACCAAGAGCATTAAAAAACAGCATGCCTGGTATAGCGTACCATGGTCAAACACTATTTTTTACACTATGGTTCAGTAACCTACGATGCTAAAGTGATGTATGCAGTCCAACAAAAACATTGCCCAACTTAAGTCTGGAGGCTATATTCGTGTGAGCCCATGTTAGTCTATGGATCCATTAATAATGTCTGTAGGTTCTATGTAAATCTATGGGTTTATGTACAATTCTGGCCCCTATACAAGTCTGTGGGATCTATGTTAGCTATTGGGTTTTATGTAAGTCTCTGGTTATTATATCAAGTTATCAGAACCATGTCGATGAGTCCAATGCACATATACGGATCTATTTAAGCAAGTATAACATATACCTTATGGGCTCTACTATAGTCAGTCATGTTATAACGCTGTGTAATCTCAGCACATGCGTGCTAATTTATGTCAGAATGTGACCACAGCTCACCTGTTTAATGACACTTTCAACTTGGTTGAAGTCATTTGACACATCCACCGAGATGCACAGCACTGCCTTAACGTTTAAAAACCACAAACACACAAAATCTGTATTAGACAAGTATGTACAGAATATCATACCAGAAAACATTGATTCGCTGCACTAATATTTCTTTAGAGCTGCGTTTTTTGTTTAGTTTGTTGTTCTTACCTCCGCACCTCCTATTAGCACGGTTTGCTAAGTCCGGTGCGAAATAAGTTCATCATACTAACACCACTCTTTAACCAAATTTAAAATATAAATAAACTATGAAACCATTGCAACGTTCAATATTATATTCTTGAGGAACACCTCATACCTGGCTTTCATTCACAACGTGCTCTTCAGCCTCCCTCTTCGCCTGCAGAAGCTTCGTCTGCAGAAAAAGCAAGACAACGTTGTCACGCACGTTACTCACGAAACGTTTGTTTGTGTAACTGGTAGCCGCTGAACGTACGGAGCAATACACTTCACATCATACACCTTCATAATGGAAAAACGAGGGAAAATATGCCACGCGGTAGCTTAGGCTTGCCACAGTGCCGTATGTACGGTGCATTGTTACTAACGTCCTGCTATGAAAGGTTCTCGACTTTCTGAACCAGTAAATGGTTACCGGCTTACCACTTGTCACTGAACAACCCTAATGTGTACATTAAGGGCTGGAAACCAAGCAGTGCTGATATTAATTTAAGGATTTACATTGATATGGTGTTTAAATGCCTCAGCAACTCAATGTGCATCAAACCACATCTTATCTCAACAATTTCAATGGCCATCTGCAGTCTAGTCAGGGGGATCCCCCAAACTACAAAGTGGAAATTGTCCCCCTGTGTGACATGAGGTGTGCAGAGAAATAGCCTGCAAATGAGCATGAAATCTGGCAGAAGATGGCAATGTTGCTATGTGGTTTGTCACAATTAAGCAATTTGTGAGTAATTAATCAAAAATGTCTAATGTGGACCATGACTGGAGGCACACACTGTCCACTCTTCTTTTCAAATAACATCACTGGCACCTTTAGATTCCATTGTGAGACATAATGACTTTACACACTTCCACAAAACAGGTTTTTTTGGTTTCGATCTCGTAAATATAAACGTGTCGTGAAACCCGACAGCACCCGACACAGCCAATTAGTAAGGTTTGTCACGTAAAACAGAAAATACCAATTCGTTACTAGTACAGCACACCGGTGTGTTTGAGAGAAAATCCACAACATTTACTATCGCGAAAGCCTACGTGTCAAACTGACACACTTCCAGTACAACCCAGGGGCGGTCGCCGGACTTGAGCCACAAACCCTTTGAAAAAGCGTCAACCACGCTTCGAATCGGCCACGTCACCGATCAAGCTGAGGATCAACGACAACTGACAACACCGCGTGTGGGTTTTCACCTCGTTCCTGGCCACCAGAGTAACACAGGCTCCTTGTCGGACACACTCGATGGCGATGGCTTTCCCAATGCCACTAGATCCACCAGTCACCTGCAAATGGACACATTGTCAAAAGATTCACTTGTTAGCTTGTTTGGGCTGCTGAAGCGAGAGGTATGAACCATGAAGATCGGCAATAGATCAGCACTAGGTGCTCACAATACCAATACAAATAGCAATATCCGACATTCGCCACTAAGTGACGGTGACGTCACCATGGCGCCTGTGCCAGGCCAGGTGCACTTCGAGGCCACGTGAAGTGGCCTCAATGTGCAGGAGGTCTCGGGACAGACCCAGCAGGTGCCATGGGTTGCCTGACTGAGATGACTGGTAGATGCACCAGCTGTACCCCACTCCTGTGCCAACTTACTGAATTTTAGCTGCCCGGCGCTCCGCCCATTGTTGTGAGCGTCACTCCTCTGCCCTCCGTTGTCGCTGGAGGGCGATTCTCTCCAACTGCCCAGTAGTATATATATTCTTGGTTCTTTCGGTAAAGTCACGTAGATATAAAACAAAAATCTAAAGCAAAAAACCCACGACGTTTCGATCGCAACACAAGCGGTCTTCTTCAGGTGGAGAGAAAAAATGGTAGTGTCCTTCACAGGCCTCCTCCATAGAGGCCGATCTTGAGACCGCTGGTACCAGTCGTCGGCAAGTTCACTCAGCTCCACATCCTCCCGTACTGTATTTGTCCATCTCTTCTCCAGCACATGTTGTGCCCGTTTAGCCCCCTCTATGCAGTCAAACAGAAGCTGCTTGGGCATGCCGTAGCTGGGCATGTGGGCTACATGACCCAGCCAATGCCTGCCAGAGGAGCTCACTGACAAGAATGTGTCCAGATCTTTCAAGGATTTGTGAGCTCCTCCCACAATTCAGCCTGGTTAAACCCAGGATGGATCGTAGGCATGCCAGCCTGAATGTTTCTAACTGGTGCAGATGTTCCATTTGAAGGGTCTCCGTTTCACAAGCATAAAGGGAGGGCCTGGCTGTGGCCGAGAAGACCCGAAGAATCATGTAGAGCAACCGACCAGGTCATTTTCACACAGCATTGGGCAGCCAATGAAAAGATAATGCCGCCCGGCTGATTCGGAGTGAGACCTCTGCTGTCAAACCAGAGCTGGTCATAAGCACACTGCCCTGGCATGGGAAACTCTCCACTCTCTCCACAACCGCTCCATCACCAATGGGGAGCTTAGGGGGTGGAGTGTTTGATGGCAAAAATTCCCCGGGCAGGTGCTCAGTTTTGATGGGGCTGATGATAAGACCCCGCCTCTAAGTGGCACACTCCAGGTTTAGCAGCAGCGCCTCCTACTCTTCTGAGTGAGCAGCAACCACCAGATCATCAGCATACATAACATGGTTGACCAATAGGGAACCAATCCCTCGACCGCACCCGGGCACTGATCAGCCTCCCGTTGTATCTGTACCAGATGGGAATTCCTCCGGTACAGCCATGGAAAGCTTCTCGAACTACGTGGTCAAAGATGATGTTAAACAATGTGGGAGCCAGACGACATCTCTGTCGCATCCTAAGGTGAACAGGGAATGGCTCCGACTCCTGGCCATATAACTTTACCCAGGCTTCTATATTGTTATTTGTATTGTGTTTCCACCACGATGGAAAACACAAACCACGGTGGAAAACACAATACAAATCACACGCATACATACCTGCAATACATTATGTTAGGCAGCACCTATTAAGTCAACATGCACAACATAACAAGGTTGCGAGACACCCACCACATCCTGGCACAATTGTCTTCCCACTACAACTTACTAGGGGGTCCAAAAAATGTTGGCGTTGTTTCATTTATGTAACCGGGAGATGAAATAAACACTGAGCGACAAGAAAAAGCATTGCCTCTTTTGCAAGGGTGACCCTAGGTTACATGTTCACTACACCTTTGAATTATGGGCAAAGTGTACAAGAAAAATGCCAAGCGGTATTTGAGCACCGCAGGCCAAAGCCACATGACCACCGCCATAACGGTGGGGGTGGGTCAGGAAGAAGAGTTGAGCGGAGGGTACGGAAGCTGCAACAGCAGCAGCATTACAAGCGCAGGTTGATGGGCAGACAGAGAGAAAAAGAGAGATAAAAGACGGGGGGGGGGGGGGGCAGAGGGAGAGAGAAAGCGAGAGACAGCGTGCAAGAGACAGCAAGACCGACAAGAAGAATCACGAGAACTGAGGGAGAAATCAGGGAGATATAAACAGAGAGACGAAGGGCGATGATGAGAGGCAGAACGAGATGGAGGCAGAGATAGACAGAGGGAGCAACAGAGACAAAGGGACAGATACACACAGAGACAGAGGCAAGCAGAGACGTAGTGTGTGACTTCTCAGTTAATTTGTTGAAAAAGTCGAATAAAAATAATTATTTGGCTTTACATTCACATTTAGAGAATACTTAGTGAAGGTATTTGGCATTTAGGATAAAAGTGATTTTTGGTACACGACCTACAAATTAGACCACATCATAAAGATTTCTTTGAGGCCAAGACCACAACACAGAAACCCACCCCCCCCCCCCCCCCCGTCAGATTTGCCCCCTTAAATGCACAGCGGAAAACAAGGCAAAAAAACACAAAGCACGTAAAGTATTTTTGTGTCCGGTTTTGACTTCATGTGCAGAGTTAAATTACTTTAAAGTCTACACAAATACTTCTAGACAAGAGTGTTTCTTACACGTCGTACTTTTATCATCATATTCAAGCCTCAGGGGTGTTTTCTGTTTTGCTAAAGATTCGTTTTTTTATCATAAACAAACAAAACTGCATTACTTCAGTTCATTGAACTCGGCAACCAACGACTGAAAATTCTGATAAGACTAAAGTCTAAACTACATACTTTTATCTATTTGTTTGCATAAAAACAAACAAAACTGTTCTTAACTAAAACGGAAGTATAACGGCTGGCTGCAAGATAACAGGAAAAACTGTTTTTGTGAACTAAACACAGCGTGATTAAAAACTCAATAGCACATCGGTGATGTTGTAGTATAATTACTATTCATATGCACATTTTTAAATAGTATTTAATATTTTTTAAGCTACCCATTTTTTTAATTCAAGATTCCTAACATTTTTTTTTACAAATTCAAATTGAAAACAAATAAAAAATGTTTACAGTGGTTTAACTGCACGTGTATGTTTTTATGGGACAAAACGTTCACATCAACATCACCGTAACGTGTTGTATTTGAATTGGTTGCACAGCAGAAGCAATATTCCGAGTGAAAGGTCGAGCACCAACAAATCGTATCCACAAGTGCACACGCACGTTTGCAGCATTTTTTTTTAACACGTAGGCTTTCGCGACCAATATTATTCATAATAAACTTTTTGGGTTAGATCGCGTTATTTATAAATGTGTCGTAACCCTCCACCACCCGACACGGCCAATCAGCAAAAAAGTGTCACGTTGACAAAAGACAAATAGTTCACTGCTTTAGCCCACCGGTGTGTTGAAGAGTGAATCCACAACATTTACAATTTTTTAGTACGTTTCGCTGGTAATTGCATCCAGCATCATTGGACAATTCGCCAGAATGGCCAGTGAAACGTCGTACTCAAAAAATGTAAATGTTGTGGTTTCACTCTTCAACACACAGGTGGGCTAAAGTAGTGAACTATTTGTATTTTTTCAACGTGACACTTTTTGCTGATTGGCCGTGTCGGGTGAAGGGTTACGACACATTTATGAATAACGCGATCTAACCCAAAAACTTAATTATGAGCATTTTTTCTACTTTGCAAAGCAGATTATGGAAAGCTCGCAAGGGTTATCATCAGAGGATTAGGCATCTTTTATTTCTGTTTAAGTTGTAATGCAGCAATTACCATATGGTCTCATGCCACCACACTCCCCAAATCGCTACCAAACACCAAATTCTTACAATGTACAGTAGTACACTTAGATTTACATCGGATTGAAGTAACTAATAAAATCAGAAAACTGGGGGCATTGAAAGACGTACGGTTTGTTTTTTAAATAGTGATGCTATCGCTCCAATTCTTTAAAGATTAAAACTTAACCAACCTTTACCATACAACCACGTCAATGATAGGCCAACTTATTCTTTCGTACGGCTGATGTAGCTGCAGAACAACAACTACAATTTCACATTCAGGTGGTCAAGCCAAAACTGATGTGCTTGCTCGGCATTTCGATGCCAAATCGACCACTGAAACATGTACCGCGTAATGCTGTTCTTCATTGAAATTCCACATTTTTGCTACTCCGGCTGGCGTTTATTGAAAACATGTGCACACAGTATGGTACAACAGTGCATCTATTGTTTGAAAGAAAATCACCACCCAAATGCTCATCACATGATGTCAGTGTTGTATTTTCTCATCAGTTATTGGTCGTGGAACTCGCATACACAATTGTATAAAATATGAGTACGGAATGGCTATATTTAGTCGTTATAAGCGTTTTATTTAAACGAAGAGTTACATATTATCTCCAAAAATGTATCAATTAAGGTTAAATTTCGATTTAAAGCTTTCGTGACTGCAGGGATTCATCTTCTTGGTTCTTTCGGTAAAGTCACGTAGAAGGAAAATAATAAAAATAAAACATAATAAAATCATTCTCACGACGTTTCGGCCACAACGCAAGCAGCCGTCTTCAGGTGGAGAACAGGTCTGTCGAGACGGCTGCTTGCGTTGTGGCCGAAACGTCGTGAGAATTATTTTATGTTTGATTTTTATTATTTTATTATTTTCCTTCTACGTGACTTTACCGAAAGAACCAAGAAGATAAATCAAGGTTGTTTGGCCATATTTCACCAATGTTCGGGGCCAGCGCCAATTCTTATGCCACTCGCCACTCATGTGAGCTGCGGCTGGGAATGCAAGTGAGGTCAGAAAGTTCACAGTGCAGTGTGCCACTTTGTCACGATTGCGTTTGTTTTCATAAAAAAAAAGGTCTCACGTCACATTTGTGCTGCAGGCCAATTTTAATAATCGTTTTATTTTGATAGTAAAATTATAAGGCATCAACACCACATGCACTCAATGTGCGAGTGGACATGGTTAGTTGTACAGCACTATCTGCATGCTACACCTTGGCTTAACATGTTAGTTTCATATTCTTTGGGTCTTTCGGTAAAGTCACGCAGGCAGAAAAATAATGAAATGAAAAAAAAATCACGACGTTTCGATCGCAACACAAGCAATCGTCTTCAGGTGGAAAAAAATAGAGCAGGCGGACTGCTGAGGCAGGAAGAAATACAGCGAGAGAGCTACTGCAGCCAAAGGTTATACTGGTAGGAACCTCCTGGTTACACCAGCCCACAGGGGATTATTGTGTCCGTCGTGCAGGGAGGGGCTGGGTGGGGAGGGTGGGGAGGGACAGGGTGGGGAGGGTGGGGAGGGACAGGGTGGGGAGGGGCTGGGTGGGGAGGGAGGGGCTGGGTGGGGAGGGGAGGGTGGGGAGGGGCTGGGTGGGGAGGAGCTGGGTGGGGAGGGTGGGGAGGGGCTGGGTGGGGAGGGTGGGGAGGGGCTGGGTGGGGGCTGGGAGGGGTGGGGCTGGGTGGGGGGTGGGAGGGGTGGGGCTGGGTGGGGAGGGGCTGGTCACCCCGTGGTGCCCTTATAAAACTCAACGTTGAACCTACTCACGCCGGCTTGTGCCCGCCCTCACAGTCGGCCATATTTGCGGAATACACCACGCCGCCGTTGACCCTGGCCATTGACCGAGCAACCCAACGTTCCTACCAGCTCCCTCCGCAGGAATGTGTTTAATGTTTGAAGTGGGCGGGGCTAGAGATGGAATTTGCAAGTAAATGTAAGATCGCAGAGCTAGGAATACCTCGGCTAATCATGTCTGCATTCACCACAATACTTGTGGTCAGAATGCAAACTAAAATGAAGGCGATCGGTATTATATGGGTGTCGCGGTATCTCTCCAGAGAAGTGAGCGGCTCGATCAGATGAGCCCTCCTGTCTCGGAGTCTGTTAAAAGATCTAATGGTTGTGTGGAAACCCTCCCCGGAGAGGTGGTTACATCTTGACTTAAAGCTTTCGTGACTGCAGGAATTCATATTCTTTGGGAAACGTCGTGATTTTTTCAATCATTTTATAATTTTTATATCTGCGTGACTTTAACGCTAGTTAACACTGTGTAACACTAACAGTCTCACCACCATACGAGCTAGTTAACACACTAGTTAACACTGTGTAACACTAACAGTCTCACCACCACACGTGCTAGTTAACACACTAGTTAACACTGTGTAACACTAACAGTCTCACCACCATACGAGCTAGTTAACACACTAGTTAACACTGTGTAACACTAACAGTCTCACCACCATACGAGCTAGTTAACACACTAGTTAACACTGTGTAACACTAACAGTCTCACCACCACACGTGCTAGTTAACACTGTGTAACACTAACAGTCTCACCACCATACGAGCTAGTTAACACACTAGTTAACACTGTGTAACACTAACAGTCTCACCACCACACGTGCTAGTTAACACTGTGTAACACTAACAGTCTCACCACCACACGTGCTAGTTAACACTGTGTAACACTAACAGTCTCAGCACCACACGAGCTAGTTAACACACTAGTTAACACTGTGTAACACTAACAGTCGCACCACCACACGAGCTAGTTAACACTGTGTAACACTAACAGTCTCACCACCACACGTGCTAGTTAACACTGTGCAACACTAACAGTCTCACCACCACACGTGCTAGTTAACACTGTGTAACACTAACAGTCTCACCACCACACGTGCTAGTTAACACTGTGCAACACTAACAGTCTCACCACCACACGTGCTAGTTAACACTGTGCAACACTAACAGTCTCACCACCACACGTGCTAGTTAACACACTAGTTAACACTGTGTAACACTAACAGTCTCACCACCACACGTGCTAGTTAACACTGTGTAACACTAACAGTCTCACCACCACACGAGCTAGTTAACATTGTGTAACACTAACAGTCTCACCACCACACGAGCTAGTTAACACACTAGTTAACACTGTGTAACACTAACAGTCTCACCACCACACGTGCTAGTTAACACTGTGCAACACTAACAGTCTCACCACCACACGTGCTAGTTAACACTGTGCAACACTAACAGTCTCATCACCACACGTGCTAGTTAACACTGTGTAACACTAACAGTCTCACCACCACACGTGGTAGTTAACACTGTGTAACACTAACAGTCTCACCACCACACGTGCTAGTTAACACTGTGTAACACTAACATTCTCACCACCACACGTGCTAGCTAATACACTAGTTAACACTGTGCAACACTAACAGTCTCACCACACGTGCTAGTTAACACTGTGTAACACTAACAGTCTCACCACCACACGTGCTAGTTAACACTGTGTAACACTAACAGTCTCACCACCACACGTGCTAGTTAACACTGTGCAACACTAACAGTCTCACCACCACACGTGCTAGTTAACACTGTGTAACACTAACAGTCTCACCACCACACGTGCTAGTTAACACACTAGTTAACACTGTGTAACACTAACAGTCTCACCACCACACGAGCTAGTTAACACTGTGCAACACTAACAGTCTCACCACCACACGTGCTAGTTAACACTGTGTAACACTAACAGTCTCACCACCACACGTGCTAGTTAACACACTAGTTAACACTGTGTAACACTAACAGTCTCACCACCACACGTGCTAGTTAACACACTAGTTAACACTGTGTAACACTAACAGTCTCACCACCACACGTGCTAGTTAACACTGTGTAACACTAACAGTCTCACCACCACACGTGCTAGTTAACACACTAGTTAACACTGTGTAACACTAACAGTCTCACCACCACACGTGCTAGTTAACACTGTGTAACACTAACAGTCTCACCACCACACGTGCTAGTTAACACACTAGTTAACACTGTGTAACACTAACAGTCTCACCACCACACGTGCTAGTTAACACTGTGTAACACTAACAGTCTCACCACCACACGTGCTAGTTAACACTGTGTAACACTAACAGTCTCACCACCACACGTGCTAGTTAACACACTAGTTAAGTGTGTAACACTAACAGTCTCACCGCCACACGAGCTAGTTAACACTGTGTAACACTAACAGTCTCACCACCACACGTGCTAGTTAACACTGTGCAACACTAACAGTCTCACCACCACACGTGCTAGTTAACACTGTGTAACACTAACAGTCTCACCACCACACGTGCTAGTTAACACTGTGCAACACTAACAGTCTCACCACCACACGTGCTAGTTAACACTGTGCAACACTAACAGTCTCACCACCACACGTGCTAGTTAACACTGTGTAACACTAACAGTCTCACCACCACACGTGCTAGTTAACACTGTGCAACACTAACAGTCTCACCACCACACGTGCTAGTTAACACTGTGTAACACTAACAGTCTCACCACCACACGTGCTAGTTAACACTGTGTAACACTAACAGTCTCACCACCACACGTGCTAGTTAACACTGTGTAACACTAACAGTCTCACCACCACACGTGCTAGTTAACACTGTGTAACACTAACAGTCTCACCACCACACGTACTAGTTAACACACTAGTTAAGTGTGTAACACTAACAGTCTCACCACCACACGAGCTCCTTATCAAGCGAGATGAGAGTTATCTAAACAGTAATTCGTGTTAACGAATGCTGACTCGCCTCAAACCCACACCAGCCCTAATGTCCTTATATTAGACTAATATTTGACGTGTGTATTCGTGTAGTATTTTGCTCTAATGCTGGGTCTCAACCGTGACATGCAATCCATTAATTCGTGTTAACCATTGCTGATTAGCATAGCCTCACCATCACACGAGTTTAACGTAATTGCATGAGTTACAAAGTGCATTGCTGTGAGTTTTCACAGCTGATGATGATTGCTTGTGTTGCAATCGAAAAGTCGTGAGAATTTTATTGTTTTACATTTTTCTTATTTCATTATTTCCCTTCTACGTGACTTTACCGAAAGAACCAAGCATATGAATCGATGCAGTCACGAAAGCTTTAAATCAAAGTATATCGCTGTAGTTAAACCACTCTAACGCTGGCTCTCACACGTGGTGTTAGCAAACGCTGTTAACTCTACAGCATTCCATTAATTCGCGTTAACTCATGCTGCTTAGCAGAGCCTTCACTACCACCAGCAGCAGAAGCAAGTTAATGAGAAGTGTACTTTGTGTCGTTGTGTTACTCTGATGCTGGGGAGGGGAGGGGGTCTCACCACCACATGAGCGCCTTACGTTCTTATGCAGTTAACTCAACAGCATGACATGAATTCGTGTTGACTCATAGCTTCCACCACCACCAAGCCGAGCTCTCGCCTAACCGTACAAGTGTACTCGTTGTCAGTGTTACTTTGATGCTGGAAGGTGGTAGTGGTGGGGGGGGGGGTCAAAACCACATGAGCGCCTTAAGTTCGTATGCAGTAAACTCAGCATCATCCCATCAATTCGTGTTGACTCATAGCCTCTACCACCACCACCAGCCGAGCTCTCGCCTAACCGTACAAGTGTACTCGTTGTCAGTGTTACTTTGATGCTGGAAGGTGGTGGTGGGGGGGGTCTCACCACCACATGAGCGCCTTAAGTTCGTATGCAATTAACTCGGCATCATCCCATGAATTCGTGTTGACTCATAGCCTCTACCACCACCGCCAGCCGAGCTCTCGCCTAACCGTACACGCATACTCGGTGCCGTTGTGTTACTTTGATGCTCGAAGAGGGAGGAGGAGGTAGTGGAGGTGGTGGTGGTGGTGGTGGAGGGGGGTCTCTCACCACCACATGAGCGCCGCTGAGCCCCAGCCGCGCGGGGCTGACGAGGGGAGACAGCATGTACAGCAGCAGCACGAATGCCACCACGAACGCCACCGCCACCAGCAGCATTACCGACTGGAGTGACACGACGCCTAACATCGATGGGTTTTGTTGCTTTTAAATAGATAGATGCGGTGACGACAACACCACAAAACAACCGCCCCCCTCCCCACACACACAATTAGCGACGATTCAATGTGTTTAATTCTCTCTGTCTCTGCTACCCACTGGACCAGGGAAATGTTGACAGACGTGGGAGGACGCTCGCTCGCTTCCGGGTTCAAAGGGCACGGGAGGAGGGGGAGGGGCGGCGGGGGGTGTCGTGATCGGATGCCAAGCAATGGGAGAGCGCTCAATCCCATTGCAGTGAGTGGAGAGAAAGACACACACTCAGCTAAAACTCATGAACACTGTTTTTTGTTCATTAGCTTTTACCATACTTCTTTCGGTGAAGTCACGTAAGCTTCAAATCAAGATTAGATTTTACCAGGCAAGGCCCCGCTTTTGTGGTGGCGAGAATTTGTGAGGGTTACGCAGTGTTCAACTTTTTGCGGAAGCGAAACTAATGAACACTGTTTTTTGTTCATTAGATTTTACCATACTTCTTTGGGCGAAGTCACGTAAGCTTCAAATCAAGATTAGATTTCACCAGGCAAGGCCACACTTTTGTGGTGGCGAGACTTTGTGAGGGTTACACAGTGTTCAACTTTTTGCGGCAGCGACTGGGTTATCGCAAATGATAGCTCGACGATTCTAGATTTGAAGCTTTCGTGACTGCAACAGGGGCGGTTTCTTCATTAGGGCGATTGGGCGACGCACCACCAATCTCATTCAACCACAGTCACGCTAGCCGTTACTGTGCCTCTGGATATAGTCCAATCAGCGTCATGTCACGTTCTGTGGAGTACCGCCTCTTTTTGGGCGATTTCACTCCGGCTGAGAATCGCCCCGAGTGGCCCCATAGACTTACATTCAAAGATGTTTTTTTTCGAACGGCGGGCGCTGCAATGCATTCTCTATGGCTTCCGGGAGGGCTCGCACTAACGTGCTTACGTCATCATACGTAAGCACGTTTCAGTCAACAATATTATTTGTCGCCACCTAGTGGAATCTTTAATAAAAGAAACTGAGTGGATTGTAATAATAGTGAGTATAGAAACAAACAAGATGTATTGTTAAGAGTCACTTTATTTTTCTTTAATATTAAAGAAGTGAAGTTGCCTTTACATGCTTAAGCTGTTAATTTATCCATTGCATGGGTGGACCTTATCCTTATCAATCATCCAGACATTTGCCCCCCCTGAGAGATTTTGCAGGAGCCGCCACTGGACTGCAAGGATTCATACTCTTAGTTCTTTCGGTAAAGTCACGTAGGTAAAAAATGAAATTAAAATTAATAAAAATGTAATTTTTTAACCTACGTGACTTTACCGAAAGAACTAAGAGTATAGCTCAACGAATTGGCTTATCACCACGTGAACATTTTATAGTAGCCTAATACTCCGAACGGCATGTTGCAAAATGTGGAGGGGAAAAAAACGGAGGTTAAGGAGAGAAATCCACGCGACCACGGGGACAGAAAGAGAGAGACACGCAAACTACAAATATACAGGCATCAGGATCGGAATCGAACCCACGACCTCCTGTATAACACGCAAGGTAGTTAACATCTTGCTAGCATTTGATGAAGTGTCAAATTTGATTTGAACTCGTGTATTGAGAATCTAACTCTCAGCTTTAGTTGTTGTGGACGGGGGGGGGGGGGGGGGTATTGCGGATCCTGTTATTCGAAGAAGACCTGATGTAGGCAATGATGAGAAGGAAACTGGCACTATTTGGACACTTGTAGGATGGACAACAGGAACATTAAAAGTGTATCTGTTCGGCAAAATGGAAAGAAACGTAAAGAGAGGAAGAGCTAACAGAGAATGGATTGACGACATAAGAGGTTGGTGCCAGAAGATGTGCACTACTTGAGTAGATTGGCACCAGACAGAGGAAAGTGGGCACAAAAACCTACGGGTTACCTGCTAATGGATCGTGGTGATGATGATGTCTGAGAGTTTATCCGCATTTCTACTCGACCTATCTGTGGTGGGAAAAATATTTGCGGATAATAGTATGAATTTGCCTTTCAACTCTTATCAATAAAAAAGTATAATAGAAGTAATTGTGCAATGAAATATTGGGAAAATTGCGGATATTGAAAACATAAGGCCACTAAAAAAATTGAGTTTCCAGACTCAATAGTTCCCGTGGTTAATAGTATAAGCACATAATTATTCTGTAATCGATTCATTTAAATTACTAAGCTCGTGATACATGCATTAAATCACGTGTGAACGATTAAATGTTATTACGTTTGAGTGTGTTGTATGTAACGAGTTCACGTGACCCCTCCAGGCCCTCGCAGCGTTTTACTAGAATCAGTTTTGTCACACAAAGCTTCAGTTTGAACTGCATGCGTTACCTCCCAACCCACACCCCGCCCCCCACACTCACCATGCTCCCCCCCCTCCTTCCCCCACAACTATATAATTCCTCATAGGACCTCCTTTGCCAGTACCAAAATATGAGAATAGGTTTTCCCCTTTGTTCTGGTAACAAAACAGGTGTCAGAGCTGTCTCTGGTGTGGACCAATCAGTTTCAAAGACAATGCATATATTATCAGAGTATGTTTTTTGTTTTTTGCATTCTGACCACAAGCATTGTGGTTAATGCAGATATGGTTCCTTGTAAAAGGTTTCAGTTTGGTGTTTTAACATCTTAACACCTGTTTTGTTGCCAGAAAAAGGGGAAAACCTATTCTCATATATAATTCCTCGTCACAGCCATCTCTTATACAAACTTAAGCGGTTGTGCTTTCGCTGCGTTGTCCCAACCTGAAGACGGATGCTTGTGTTGCACCTCAAAACTTTGCGCAAGAGCGCAGAAGTGTGGTTACCACATCTACACCTCGATATAAGGATCGGAACAGGTGGACGAATAACAAACTAAACACAAAAAGCAGTTCTAAATAAGCGAGTTTTCAATTTCTAAAGAAATGAGAGAATGCTCGAACCAATACGAAGCCATGACCGACAAGAGCATCAGTGCAGAGGACCCTTACCAGTAACACAGCAGTGGGGAGAGAGGGCAAAGCGTGCAAACTCCGTGCATGGGCACGATAACGCATTCACACTCAGCCCTGCCGGTCGCTGACGCTGAGCTACCCTCCTCCAGGCTGCACGCACGGGCTTGTGTCCTTTGTTGGCCTTGCCTGACGCATGCAGCTGTCAATGACACTTCAACCTTCCGCCACACGGAGATACTGAAAAGGATCGTCGGCATAAGCTGCCCAAGCCCGGCCATGGGCCTCAGCGAGTGAAAACTTTCGATCGCAACGCAAGCAATCATCATCTTCTGCCTGATGATGATTGCTTGCGTTGCTATCGAAACGTCGTGATCTATTTTTTCTACCTACGTGACTTTACCTAAAGAACCAAAGAGTATGCCATACATACATTACCTCGTTCGAGTGCAACATTGTCCTGTGCTGTAGAGTGGAACAGTGAATGTTTCCAGGTAGAAATCCAAGTACCAAAGTAATTTACTGTCCCTCATTCGAGTTCAACACAACTGGTACTGCAGAGTGACACAGGATTCTGGGCCCAGGCCAAGGCCATAGCTATGTAGTCAACATTGGGGGGGACCAAATCTTCGAGGGGGTCTGGGGTTCCCCCCCCCCCCCGAAAAAAAAAATCTAAATTTCAAAACGAATATCCTGCCATTATCTGCCTAAAATATGAAAAAATTCACTAACACATGGGATGGACTTTTAATTATTTTTTTTACAATAATGTCTAATAGTGTATTGTATTACATTGCTCTTTTTTTTACCTTTTCTTGTTTAATTGTATGTAATGGCAGAGATTAGGGATTCATAAAGTACAACCATAACCTCAATCATATAAACAGAAATCGATGCATTGTTACATGAAGACAAGTCCAGATATTGTGGCCAAGGTTTAGCAAATTGTTGTTTTTATTTACATAGCATCGCAATATATTTTTTTACAAATATGTATAGCAATATATTGGGGGGGATATTCTTAGGTTTTTTTTCGGTAAAGTCACGTAGATAAAAATTTTAAATTAATAAAAGTAAAATAAAAATAAAATAAAAATCACGACGTTTCGGAGGCAACACAAGCTTCCGTCTTCAGGTGGAACTGTCACAGCACGATAGCTGTATCAAGGGGGGGTGGGGGGATATTTTGAGCATATTTGAATATTGAAGGGGATGCGTCCCCTCCAATATATATTATAATTACGGCCTTGGCCCAGGCAGAGTTTCGAGTGTTACTTATTGAGTCCAAGTGCAACAATCCCAACGCCTGGCAGGGAAGAGCAAGAGGTCGTACGCTCTGCTCAAGCAAGAGTTCCCAGCCGGGACGATACAATGCTGGCGATCGAATACACGCCAAACCCTTTTCAGGGAGCAATGTCTGTGATTTCGAGACGACAGTCGTATTCTCGGCATCTGGAAGTGGGACCATACACACTCGTCCCTGAGTCTCTGCGGCGTCGAGCCTTTGGGTAGGGGCCGTCCATAAATGACGTCACGCACCTGGGGGGGGGGGGGTCAGACATTTGTGACGATGTGTGACGAAGGGGGGCGGGGGGGGGGTTTAGAAATGTGACGTCACATAAAAATGCGCAACTTTAAATAAATATAGACAACACGTTCTACTTAATTAAATAGACTTTTTAATAAATGTTTTCTCCTACAACATCAGAGTGCAGCGCCACATTAAATACGCACTACAATGACAATAGTTTAAAGCGATTTGAAGCATGTTTTATTTTTTGGGGGGGGGGGGGAGAGCAGAGCTTTGTGACGTCATATTTGAGGGGGGGGTCTGACTTTTTGTGACGTCGTGTGACGAAGAGGGGGGGGGGGGGTCAAAAATCGTCAAAAATCGCGTGACGTCATTTATGGACGGCCCCTTACGTGTCTCGTGTTTCCATGAACGGGTTCTCGTTGCATTATGTTGTTTTGTGGTTGCGAACTGAGGAGTGGTTTGCCTGAGTGGTGGGGTGGTGGGGATTAGGTGGGCCTGGTGAGTGGACGGGCCCCTCATCCGAGTAACGTGTTCGAGGGCTCAGACAGACCGTGCGTCACAATTAACCTTTTGCTTACGCGCGAGAAGCGTGAATTGTGACGTCATATAATAGGCGTGTATTGATTGGTCGAGTGGCCAATTAACGGAGATGTAAAAAA